AGTCACTGAAGCCGCGAGGAGTAGAGGCTGAGACAGGTGGATCACGAGCTCAGGAGTTCAAGACCAGCGTGGCTAACATAGTGAAACCCTGTCTCTATTAAAAATACAAAAATTAGGCTGGGCGCGGTGGCTCACGCCTATAATCCCAGCACTTTGGGAGGCCAAGGTGGGTGGATCACGAGGTCAAGAGAGCGAGACCATCCTGGTCAACAAGGTGAAACCCCGTCTCTACTAAAAATACAAAAATTAGCCAGGCATGGTGGTGTGCGCCTGTAGTCCCAGCTACTCGGGAGGCTGAGGCAGGAGAATTGCTTGAACCCAGGAGGCAGAGGTTGCGGTGAGCTGAGATCGTGCCATTGCACTCTAGTCTGGGTAACAACAGCGAAACTCCATATAAAAAAAAAAAATTAGTTGGGCATTGTGGCAGGCACCTCCTGCTACTTGGGAAGCTAAGGCAGGAGAATCCCTTGGACCTGGGAGGCGGAGGTTGCAGTGAGCTGAGATTGCACCGCTGCACTCCAGCCTGGGCTACAGAATGAGACTCTGTCAAAAAAAAAAAAAAAAGCGGAGGGGGGCGCTGGGCACGGTGGCTCACTCACGCCTGTAATCCCAGCACTTTGGGAGGCCGAGACAGGTGGATCATGAGGTCAGGAGATCGAGATCATCCTGGCCAATGTGGTGAAACCCTATCTGTACTAAATACACAAAAAAATAGCCAGGCGTAGTGGCACGCGCCTGTAATTCCAGGTACTTGGAAGGCTGAGGCAGGAGAATCCCTTTGAACCTGGGAGGTGGAGGTTGCAGTGAGCCAAGATCGTGCCATTGCATTCCATCCTGGGCAACAGAGCCAGACTCCATCTAAAAAATTAAAGAAGAGAAAAGAAATTTTAGGCTACGTACTGAACTGCTGAACCTGATGTTGTTATAACCTTTCTCTAGAGTTGGCTGCAGGTCTTCCTGGTGCCCCTGGGGTGAGTCTTTGTCACTGTGTCACTGATGACTCTGAGACAGTACAGCCCTTGTGAGTGTGCAGTCCTGTTAGGGGAGCTGCCGGCTGCCCTCAGACCATCTCAGACCTGTGCTCTGGGCCTGGCGTCCCACTCTGTCATGCCTTCCCCACTGGCCCAGTCTCTGACAGACATCCTGGGCCTGCCTGCTTTCCAGGCCACTGGAGCCCAAGACAGCTCAGCTCTGTGCTGAGTGGGCCCCGGGCCCTGCCTTCCTGCAGGAGTGGGAGCTGCCGAGGGACAATGAGTAGCAGGAGACCTGATGTCTTACCAGGCTCTCCTGGTTCTGGATTTCACAGTGGATACTTTTGAGGAATGACTTGGTTTTTACGAATTACTTCCTTAGATTCTAGGGGAGATTGGGTTTTCCCCTGGAATGATAAGTCCCATAATTGGACACCTGGAGTAGGCACTCCACAGCACTCCCTGTTGCCTCGTGGCTTTGGAAGCAGCGGGCAGGAATTTTCCACCCACCAGTGACACTCGCACCCTGCAGTCCTCGTTTATGTGCTTTGAAAAGCACCTTCTTGGGTTGTCTCTTGGTTCCATGAGGCCATCACCTTGTGAGATCAGAATTTATAACCCCCGTTTATGGCAGTGCTCCACGTGGTTGAGTCACGGGTCTGAACTCACATGGCTTTTAATAAAGGGGCCAAAGATGGAACGGGGGCCTCCCTCAAGCCACAGCAGACTCCTGGCAGCTCGGCCTGGCCCTTTGCGTCTCTTCCAGTGTGGCTCAGGTGGGTGCAGCCTGGGGTGGGGCCCTCTGGCGGCCTCTCAGGTCTGAGCACACTTGGCCTCCTTTTTCTTTGGGATGGATTCTTGCTCTGTTACTCAGGTCTCAGCCTCCCGAGTAGCTGGGACTATAGGTGTGCGCCACCCGCCCGGCTAATACTTGTATATTCACCATAGTGGGCAGGCTGGTCTCGAACTTCTGACCTTGTCATCTGCCCTCCTAGCCTTCCCAAAGTGTTAGGATTACAGGCGTGAGCCATGGCAACCAGCCTTTTTCTACTTCTTACCATACTAGAACTAGAGTGCAAAGGGCATCTTTTTCTGCTGGGACTGCAGCTTTTCTGAGATCTTGTTTATTTGCAAATCGTTAACCTCAGAGTCTTTTGGCATGAAATGTTGGCCACTTTTCCTAACCAGCAATTTTATTTTCATTAAGATTGAAATTATAAATTGAAGATGTTGGCTGGCACAGTGCTCGAGTAATCCTAACACTTTGGGAGGACGAGGCAGGCAGGTTGCTTGAGGCCAGGAGTTCAAGATCAGCCTGGGCAGCATAGCAAAACCTCGTCTCTACAAAAAATGCAAAAATTAGGCTGGGCATGATGGCTCACGCCTGTAATCCCAGCACTTTGGGAGGCCAAGGCGGGCGGATCATGAGGTCAAGAGATCAAGACCATCCTGGCCAACATGGTAAAACCCCACCTCTACTAAAAATGCAAAAATTAGCCAGGCATGGTGGTGCGTGCCTGTAGTTCTAGCTACTCAGGAAGCTGAGGCAGTAGAATCGTTTTAACCTGGAAGGTGGAGGTTGCAGTTAGTGGAGATTGCCACTGTCCTCCAGCCTGGCGACAGAGCAAGCCCCCATCAAAAAAAAAAGGTTAGTTGTGCACAGTGGTGAATGCCTATGATCCCAGCTACTTTGGTGGCTCAGGCACAAGAACCACTTGAACCTGGGAGGCAAAGGTTGTAGTGAGCTGGGATTGTGCCACTGCACTCCGGCCTGGGTGACAAAATGGGACCCTGTCTCAAAAAACAAACAAAAAGAATTAGAAAAAGAAAATGTCCTGTTTAATAGTTGTTTAGTTTTATGTTCATTTGTGCAATCCACAAACATTTACTGTCTTCCTGTGCCTGGTCCTGTGCTACATGCTAGATACTTAAGAGTAAAAACAAGTTGGGTGCAGTGGCTTATGCTTGTAATCCCAGCACTTTGGGAGGCCAAAGGAGGTAGATCACTTGAGCTCAGGAGTTTGGCACCAGCCTGAGCAACATGGCAACACCGCATCTCTACAAAAATTAGCTGGGTGTGGTGACTTGCACCTATAGTCCCAGCTACTCGGGTGGCTGAGGTAGGACGACTGTTTGAGCCTGGGAGTTTGAAGCTTCAGTGAGCCTAGACTGCACTACTGCACTCCAGCCTGGGTGTGGAGTGAGATCCTATCTCAAAAAGCCAATAATCAGAAAACAGTAAAAGCAATTGGTCACAATGGCTCATGCCTGTAATCTGAGCAGCGTGGAAAGATCACTTGAGGTGAAGAGCTCAAGACCAGCCTGGGAGTGAGACCGCGATTCTAAGTAAATACATGCATACATACATACATACATACATGACAGCTGAGCCAGGTGTGGTGGTGCCTGTAGTTCCCAGCTACAGCTCGATCCTATCTCTATTTTGTTAAAATAAAAAAATTACTCTGCCAGGCTCAGTAGCTCACATCTGTATAGTTCCAGCACTTTGAGAGGCCAAGGCGTGTGGATCACTTGAGCACAGGAGTTCAAGACCAGCCTGGAAAACATGGCAAAACCCCATCTCTACAAAATTTCAAGAAATTAGGCATGGTAGCTCGTGCCTGTGGCCTCGGCCATTCTGGAGGCTGAGGTGGGAGGATTGCTTGAGCCCAGGAGATGGAAGCTGCGCTGAGCTGAGGGTACACCACTTCACTCCAGCCTAGGCCTCAGAGAGACACAGTCTCCAACAACAGAAATTACTCAGAGTACCTTGTTTTCTGCTCTCAGACATGTACCTATTTTTCATTTTAAAAAATGTTGAATTTTGTTTTATTGATTTTACTTTCATTTTTGAGAGTGGCTCACTTCGTCACCCAGTGGTGCGATCTCAGCTCACTGCAATCTCTGCCTTCCAGGTTCAAGCAGTTCTCCTGCCTCAGCTTCCTGAGTAGCTGGGATTACAGGTGCGTGCCACTACACCTGGCTAATTTTATTTATTTATTTATTTATTTCCTTTTTTTTTTTTTTTTTTTTTTTGAGACAGAGTTTTACTCTTGTTGCCCAGGCTGGAGTACAGTGGCATGAACTTGTCTCGCAGCAACCTCTGCCTCCCGGGTTCAAGCAGTCCTCCCTTCTCAGCCTCCTGTATAGCTGGGATTACAGGCATACACCATCATGCCCAGCTGATTTTGTGTTTTTAGTAGCAATGGGGTTTCTTCATGTTGGTGAGGCTGGTCTCAAACTTCTGACCTCAGGTGATCTGCCTGTGGCCGGCCATTATATTTATTTTTAATTAATTAATTTTTTTGACATGGGTCTCTGTCACTCAGGTTGTAGTATAGTGGTGTGATTACAGCTCACTGCTTTTGGTCTCAAAGGGTCCTCCTGCTCACTCCTGTAATCCCAGCACTTTGGGAGGCTGAGGTGGGTGGATCACCGGAGATCAGGAGTTCAAGACCATCCTGGCCAACATGGTGAAACCCTGTCTCTACTAAAAATAAAAAATTAACCGGGCATGATGGTGCATGCCTGTGTTTCCAGCTACTTGGGAGGCTGAGGAAGGAAAATCGCTTGAACGCAGGAGGCAGAGGTTGTAGTGAGCTGAGACTGTGCCACTGTCCTCTAGCCTGGGCAATAGAGCGAGACTGTCTCAAAAAAAAAAAAACCCCAAAACCTAACTCCTTTGTCAGTCTTTTGAGTAGCTGGGACTTACAGGCATGCACCACCATACCTGGTTAATTTTTGTAGAGACGGGTTTCACTTTGTTGCCCAGGGTGGTCTTGAACTCCTTGGTTCAGGTGATCCACCCACCTGGGCCTCTCAAAGTACTGGCATTCCAAGCGTGAGCCACCGCACTCGACCCGAATTGTGTTTTATAAGTAATGTCTCTGCTAGAGACAGTTGGGACTTCCAGCATCAGACCCCTGCCTCCACACTGCCCTCTCCCGGGCCTTGCAGCAGTGAGGTATGGGGGCCTCGTAGTTCCCTTCCCGCGTGGTGCCCACTGACTGCTGGTGCACTCTCTTTCAGGCCAACGAGGTGACGGACAGCGCGTACATGGGCTCCGAGAGCACCTACAGTGAGTGTGAGACCTTCACGGATGAGGACACCAGCACCCTGGTGCACCCTGAGCTGCAACCGGAAGGGGACGCAGACAGCGCTGGTGGCTCGGCAGTGCCCTCCGAGTGCCTGGATGTCATGGAGGAGCCCGACCATGGTGCCCTGCTGCTGCTCCCGGGCAGGTCTGTACCTCACCATGGGCCTCCTGGAGAGGCTGTTGGGATGTGGCACCCTGTGGAGGTGTCTCATGGGCAGACAGGGGTCTTGGAGGAGTGCGTGCTGTTTGGTATCCATTACGTGGGGGTGGGGCTTGGCCCTTCAGTAGCTCCTGACTGTTAAAAACGTGGGCTTTGAATGAAGAGACCACCCAAACACACCTTATTTGAGCAACATGGCTGTTTATTCACCTGGGTGCAAGTGGGCTAAGGCTGAGAAGGGCGTTAGCAAAGGGCACTAGGTTAGGAGTTGGTTTTATAGGTTTGGGGTGGGTGCCGGAAAGTTACAGAGCAGGATCAGTTACAGTGGTGGGCTTAGGGCCAGGGGTGTATGTTACCATAAGTTTAGTTACAATGGTGGGTGGGATAAGAGTAGTTAAGATGGTAGGGTGGGGTGGGGTGAGGAATATTCACATTATCATAACAACACTTAAAATGGCAGGGTGGGGTAAGGGGAAGCTTCTGTCCAGTCAGGTGTGTGTGGTGGGGTGCGGGTGGGAGGTGATCCTCTGAGGCAGGCAGAACTTTAGACTTTGTGGGTCCCGGCTTGCACGTGGAGGCCTGACTGACCTTCCTGGGAGGAGCCTCCACCACCCTGCCCTGTCCTGGCCGACTTCCCTCTCAGAATGACTGGCTTTAAATGTTGCTCAGCACCTTTAGCTGTAGATAGAAATTAGAGGAGAAATGAATGTCTCAGCAAGGTTTTGGAGCCCGATCACCTTTGAAGCACCCTGAGGAGGATGTTTTCTCTCTCCCTGTCCCCTGCCCTCAGGATTTCTGTAGCCCCCAGATTGAGTTATTGGGCCTGGAGTGGAGGGAAGAGCAGTCTGGAAGAAGGTCAAATCAGGGAGGTGTAGGGTGGCTCACCTGAATCAGCGTTGTAGGTGTTGCCATGTGCTCCTGGGAAGGCCCACGAAACCATGCTTAAGTATAGGTGTAAGCCAAAAAGCCCCTCAACCAACTGGTGGACCCCTGTCTCAGACTCAGGCATTCCTCAGTAAATCTGAAAATCTAGTTCAGGCTATGATTTTGGTTGAGGAGTTCAGGCACGCCTTGTTAGGTCCCGTCCCTTTGGAATTCAGGCCGAGCCGACCAGCACTCGCATTAAACAGAGTCTGACAAAGTGGACTTTCCTGTAGCAGCAGCAGCACCACCTTTCAGCCTGGCTCCAGTGGAACGTCGCATGACAGGTGGCAGGCCCTGAAAGAAATCAAAGTATTTTACCCCAAAATATATTTCTTTGACATAACAGCCCTACATGACTGTCTCTTGTGGGGAAAGTGTGCACTCTGTAGGGAATCTCCTCCCTTCCGGTCTTTTCCCTGCTGCGGGAGGGAGTCTGGCACCTTCTCAGGTCTGCTGCCTGCCACCTGGGGGCCTCGTCCGCTTCATAAAGCCTTGGTCTCCACAGCCCCTTATCTTCAGCACAGGCATTCCTTTCTATAGAGTCTAAGTCTTTAGATAGTAACTCTTTCAAACAATTGCCAATCAGAAAATTTTTGCACCTGCTTCTGACCTGGAAGCCCTCCTGTCGGCTTCTTAGAGCTGCCCCACGCTTCCTCACTGAACTAACATGCCTCTTACGTGCGTGATGGATGCCTTGTATCTCCCCACGATGAACAAAACCAAGCTGGAGCCGGATCCCCAAGGACACATGTTCTCAGGGTTTCCTGGGCCTGACTCACGGGCTTAGTCACCCATATTCGGCTCAGAATACATCCCTTCAAAAAAGAAAAATTTTTTTTTTTTTTGAGACAGAGTCTTACTCTATCTCAGAGGCTGGAGTGCAGTGGTGCGGTCTCGGTTCATGGCATCCTCCACCTCCCAGGTTCAAGCGATTCTCCTGCCTCAGCCTCCCGAGTAGCTGGGACTACAGCCGCCTGCCACCACACCCGGCTAATTTTTGTATTTTTAGTAGAGATGCGGGTTCACCATCTTGGCCAGGCTGATCTTGAACTGCTGACCTCGTGATCCCCTGCCTCGGCCTCCCAAAGTGTTGGGATTGCAGGTGTGAGCCACTGCGCCTGGCCTCTCTTCAAATATTTTAGAGTTTAAGTCTTTTTGCCAACATAATATACCCACAAGTAAGTGCCCATGTTGTAAGTGCACAAAGAGCAGGTTTTTCAAACTGACCATTCCCAGGGGCCCGTTCTCAGGCAAGAAAAAACCCCCTGCACCAACGGCCCTCCTAGGCTCCCAGGCTCCTGCCGGCAGACAGCTCTCCAGCGGCCCTGCGTCTTCCTTCAGCGCCCTCACACGCTGAGGCCCTTCTTGTGCCTGGCTTCTTCCACTTGCTCTTGTGCTTGTGGATTCAGCTCTACTTTTGCTCATCCCTGTAAACTGTTTACTTTTATCAGTATAAAATTGCATGAAGATGCTGTGACTTTGAAATTTATTCTCCTGTTGACGGCAATGAGTAGTTTACTGTTTTTGGTTTTGAGGGTGAAGCTGCTGTAGGAATTCCATGTCTTTTGGGATATGCTACGGCCCTAAGTGTTGTGCTGGAGTGAGCATAGAAAGTCAACACCAAGACAAAAGTATGCCAAATTGCAGGGTCTTTATTGCTGGCGGCCACGGAGGACTCACGTCTGTCCAACCCGTGGCCCCAAAAGGAGGGTGTCAAGACCTTTCATGCCCTTAAACCACCTCCTGGGCGGGGGTGGGGGCGAGGGGCTTTGGACATTCCGAGGGCCAGTGGGCTTTGGACATTCTGTAAACCACCTCCTGTAAGGGTGGTGAAGGTGAGGGGCTTTGGGCATTCCGAGGGCCAGTGGGCTTTGGACATTCTGTAAACCACCTCCTGGGTGGGGGTGAAGGTGAGGGGCTTTGGACATTCCGAGGGCCAGTGGGCTTTGGACATTCTGTAAACCACCTCCTGGGCGGGGGTGAAGGCGAGGGGCTTTGGACATTCCAAGGGCCAGTGGGCTTTGGACATTCTGTAAACCACCTCCTGCAAGGGTGGTGAAGGTGAGGGGCTTCGGGCATTCCGAGGGCCAGTGGGCTTTGGACATTCTGTAAACCACCTCCTGCAAGGGTGGTGAAGGTGAGGGGCTTTGGACATTCCGAGGGCCAGTGGGCTTTGGACATTCTATAAACCACCTCCTGGGTGGGGGTGAAGGTGAGGGGCTTCGGACATTCCGATGGCCAGTGGGCTTTGGACATTCTGTAAACCACCTCCTGGGTGGGGGTGAAGGTGAGGGGCTTCGGACATTCCGAGGGCCAGTGGGCTTTGGACATTCTGTAAACCACCTCCTGGGTGGGGGTGAGGGTGAGGGGCTTCGGGCATTCCGAGGGCCAGTGGGCTTTGGACATTCTGTAAACCACCTCCTGGGTGGGGGTGAAGGTGAGGGGCTTCGGGCATTCCGAGGGCCAGTGGGCTTTGGACATTCTGTAAACCACCTCCTGCGGGTGTGGTGAAGGTGAGGGGCTTTGGACATTCCAAGGGCCAGTGGGCTTTGGACATTCTGTAAACCACCTCCTGCAAGGGTGGTGAAGGTGAGGGGCTTTGGACATTCCGAGGGCCAGTGGGCTTTGGACATTCTGTAAACCACCTCCTGGGTGGGGGTGAAGGTGAGGGGCTTCGGGCATTCCGAGGGCCAGTGGGCTTTGGACATTCTATAAACCACCTCCTGGGTGGGGGTGAAGGTGAGGGGCTTCGGGCATTCCGAGGGCCAGTGGGCTTTGGACATTCTGTAAACCACCTCCTGGGTGGGGGTGAAGGTGAGGGGCTTCGGGCATTCTGAGGGCCAGTGGGCTTTGGACATTCTGTAAACCACCTCCTGGGTGGGGGTGAGGGTGAGGGGCTTTGGACATTCTGTAAACCACCTCCTGGGTGGGGGTGAGGGTGAGGGGCTTCGGACATTCCGAGGGCCAGTGGGCTTTGGACATTCTGTAAACCACCTCCTGCGGGTGTGGTGAAGGTGAGGGGCTTTGGACATTCCAAGGGCCAGTGGGCTTTGGACATTCTGTAAACCACCTCCTGCAAGGGTGGTGAAGGTGAGGGGCTTTGGACATTCCGAGGGCCAGTGGGCTTTGGACATTCTGTAAACCACCTCCTGCAAGGGTGGTGAAGGTGAGGGGCTTTGGACATTCCGAGGGCCAGTGGGCTTTGGACATTCTGTAAACCACCTCCTGGGTGGGGGTGAAGGTGAGGGGCTTCGGGCATTCCGAGGGCCAGTGGGCTTTGGACATTCTGTAAATCACCTCCTGGGTGGGGGTGAGGGTGAGGGGCTTTGGACATTCCGAGGGCCAGTGGGCTTTGGACATTCTGTAAACCACCTCCTGGGTGGGGGTGAAGGTGAGGGGCTTCGGGCATTCCGAGGGCCAGTGGGCTTTGGACATTCTGTAAACCACCTCCTGGGTGGGGGTGAGGGTGAGGGGCTTCGGACATTCCGATGGTTACTGAAGTGGTTCACAGAAGTCAAGATAAGCGTTAGTTTACACACTGCCTGGGTAGGGTGGAAATCACAGGCCTTAGTTACTTATTACAAGTCGCAGGGGCCAAGATGGCGTGGGTTTGGGCTGCTTGCCTGTCACATCAGGGTTACAGAGAGCAGTTTCCACAGAAAGGCGAGGTATGGTTGAGGTGTGCAGTTTTATGGGGCTTTTACCATGTCACATAAGCAGGATGGTCATCGGGAGCTCGTCCCTCCAGCCTAGCTTCTTACTTGCGCTTCCTGGGTGACTAATAAGGTGTGCCCCTTTCCTTAGGGTTGGGAGCTCCTTTGCTGGCTGGCTGATTGCAGGGGTCTGCAGACTTTCTCTCTAGAAGACTTGCAGGCCACATGGCCCCCATGGCAACTGCTCAGCCCTGCTGTTGTGATGCAGAAGCAGCCACAGGCATGTGGGTCAGTGTCCTCGTGAAACCATTTTGAGAAACAGGCTGTGGCGGGATTTGGCTTTGCCCCCGGTCTATTGGGTCCCCTGTGTTTTTCTCACTGATTATAGGAGTCCTTTAGGTATGTGTCCTTCATGAGGTGTGTGTATCACAGATGCTTTTTCTTTTACTCTGCGGGTCTCTCTTTCACCTTTTGAGGAACAGATGTTTTTAATTTTACTATGGTCCAGTTCATCCATTTTTCTTTTGTTTAGCACTTTTGTGGCCCACCTAAGAAATCTTTGCTTACCGCAGTCACCACGATGTTTACTTATGCTTCCCTTTAAAAGTGTTACTGTTTGGCCGGGCGCGGTGGCTCAAGCCTGTAATCCCAGCACTTTGGGAGGCCGAGGCGGGTGGATCACGAGGTCAACAGATCGAGACCATCCTGGTCAACATGGTGAAACCCCGTCTCTACTAAAAATACAAAAAATTAGCTGGGCGTGGTGGCACATGCCTGTAGTCCCAGCTACTCGGGAGGTTGAGGCAGGAGAATCGCCTGAACCCAGGGGGCGGAGGTTGCGGTGAGCCGAGATCGCGCCATTGCACTCCAGCCTGGGTAACAAGAGCGAAACTCCGTCTCAAAAAAAAAAAAAAAAAGCGTTACTGTTTTATCTTCATACTCAGATCCGTGATCACTACGTAACTTTTTTGTTTTGTTTTGAGGCAGTCTTGCTCTGTTGCCCAGGCTGGAGTGCAGTGGCACGATCTTGGCTCACTGCAACCTCCACCTTCCGGGTTCAAGTGATTTTCCTCCCTCAGCCTCCTGAGTAGCTGGGACTACTTGCACCCGCCACCAGGCCTGGCTAATTTTTTGGGTTTTTGGTAGAGATGGGGTTTCGCCGTCTTGGCCGGGCTGGTCTCAAACTGCCGACCTTAAGTGATCCGCCCTCCTTGGCCTCCCAAACTTCTGGGATTACAGGTGTGAGTCGCCACACCCGGCCCCGCCTAGCTAATTTTTTTTTTGGTAGAGACAGGGTCTTGACATGTTGCCCAGGGTGGTCTTGAACACCTGGGCTCCAGGAATCTGCCCACCTCACGATCCCAAAGTGCTGGGATTGCAGGTGTGTATTTTCTTACTAGTTTTTAAGAAGTAAATTTGCCAGGCAAGGTGGCTCACGCCTGTAATTCTAGCACTTTGGGAGGCCAAGGCAGGCAGATTCTGAGGTCAGGAGTTCGAGACCAACCTGGCCAATTTGGTGAAACCCCGTCTCTACTAAAAATATAAAAATTTAGTGGGCGGGGTGACGGGAGCCTGTAATCCCAGCTACTTGGGAGGCTAAGGCAGGAGAATCGCTGGAACCTGGGAGGCAGAAGTTGCAGCGAACCGAGATCGTGCCATTGCACTCTAGCCTGGGAGATAGAGTGAGACTTCATCTGAAAAAAAAGAAAAGTATAACTCTTTTAGAGGACACACATTTTCAAAACCTCATTGGTGGCTGGATCTGATTGCTAGCTAGTGTTGCCCACATTCTGTGGACCTTGCGTGGAAAGCACGTTGGACCTCCATGCACTGAACATCCAGTTTATTTATTCAAAAAATTCTTTTTGAGATCAAGTCTCACTTTGTCTCCCAGTCTGGAGTGCAGTGACATGATCTCGGCTCACTGCAACCTTCTCCTCCCAGAGAATTGCTACTCTCCTGCCTCAGCCTTCCAAGTAACTGGGACTACAGGCACCAGCCACCACGCCTGGCTAAATTATTTTAGTATTTTTTGTAGAAACTGGGTTTCGCTATGTTAGCCAGGCTGGTCTTGAACTCATGATCTCGTGATCTGGCCGCCTCAGCCTCCCAAAGTGCTGGGATTACAGGCGTGACCCACCGTGCCCTGCCTAATATCTGCTTTATATAGCCTCTGCCATGTGGCATGGGCCTCATGATCCCCAGCGTGACCTTCCATGAGGGCCTCCTCTGTTCCTGTCAAGCATCAGGATAAACTGTCCTGAGAAGAGCAGATGGGGTGGTGAGCAGTGCTGAGCCCCTTGTCATTGCTTTTGAGGGAGGAGCAGGCTTCACCCTTGTTGGCTCCGGGGAGGCGGGGAAAGGCCTCCTGGCCAATGGACCAGTGTGTGCTTTCCTCTCGCTGATTCTCCTCCCCTCAGAGGGCAGTTTTCTGTGATAGCATCTGAGCCTGTTGGTAAAACAAGCAATCAGAAGAAACAGAAAATAGAGCTGGGCGCGCTGGCTCACGCCTGTAATCCCAACACTTTGGGAGGTTGAGGCGGGTGGATCACCCAAGATTGCGCCTGGGCAACGAGAGCGAAACTTTGTCTCAAAAAAAAAAAAAAAGTACAGAAAATAGAGTCTTCCTGTAATGTAGCCTAATTTTAGAAGGGGACTGATGCAGACAGGTAGCTGCCGCCTTGAAGCCTAAAAAATACAGGTACGGCTGTGCCCCATTGCCCCCAGCTGCTATGTTTTCCAGAGCGTGGCTGTGGAGGAGTCACTCCCTTCAGAAGGAGGATGGGTACTTGGAATCCCCTTCCTTTTCCCAGTGGGAATTTGCTGTTAAGCTTTAGATGAAAGCAGAAGTTTGAACTCCCTCGCCCAGTGGTTGTGTGAGGACAGTAGCTCCCTAAAGAAGAGGCAAAGGTGCTTGAACCCAGGTGTTGGTCTGTGTCGACCTGTGCTGTCCCGCGTGGGGCTGCGGAACTCGTGATGTGGGAGAGCACGCTTGCTGCAGAGTGAGGAGTGTGAAGAGGCTGGAATTTTTTAAACGACTGCAGGTTGAGCTATGTAAAGTTTTTGGGGCCAGGTGCAGTGGCTCACACCTGTAATCTCAGCACTTTGGGAGGCCAAGGCAGGCGGATCACGAGGTCAGGAGTTCAAGACCAGCCTGGCCAAGATGGTGAAACTTTGTCTCTACTAAAAGTACAAAAATTAGCTGGGCATGGTGGCACGCACCTGTAGTCCCAGCTACTTGGGAGGCTGAGGCAGGAGAGTTGCTTGAACCCAGAAGGCGGAGGTTGCAGTGAGCCGAGATCGTGCCATTGCACTCCAGCCTGGGCAACAACAGCGAAACTCCATTTCAAAAAAAAAAAAAAAAAATTTGTTATAATCTATTTCACCTGTTCTTCACTTTTTTTTTTTTTCCCTTGAGACAGGGCCTTGCTCTGTCGCCCAGGCTGGAGTGCACTGGTTCCATCACTGCTCACTGCAGCCTCCACCTCCCAGGCTCCAGCGATCCTCCCACTTCAGCCTCTTGGGTACCTGGGACTACAGACATGTGCCGCCATTTAAAATGGTGTTTTTTGGCTGATTTTAAATTCCTTTTGTGCAGATGAGGCCTTCCTCTGTTGCCCAGGCTGGTCTCGAACTTCTGAACTCAAGTCATTTGCTTGCCTTGGCCTCCCAAAGTGCTGGGATTATAGGCGTGAGGCACCATGCCCAGCCGCCTTTTTTCTTTTTTCTTTGAGACAGAGTCTTGCTCTGTCTCCAGGCTGGATACAGTGGCTCAATCTAGGCTCACTGCAACCTCCGCCTCCTGGGTTCAGGCAATACTCCTGCCTCAGCCTCCCGAGTAGCTGGGATTACAGGCACGCGCCACCACACCCAGCTCATTTTTTGTATTTTTAGTAGAGACGGGGTTTCACCATGTTGGCCAGGATGGTCTTGATCTCTTGACCTCGTGATCCGCCTGCCTCGGCCTCCCAAGTGCTGGGATTACAAGTGTTAGCCACTGCACCCAGCCCTGCTTTTTTTCTTTAAGGTGGTTCCCAGGACTCAGCTGTGACTTGTATAGCACACCCTCTGCAAAGTACCTTCCACACCCTCAACTCAGGGGTGTCCATGGCCTTCAGTGAGAAGACATCATTTCTGTTTTCCTTTGCAGGCCCTACCCGCGTGGCCAGTCTGTCATCACGGTGATCGGGGGCGAGGAGCACTTTGAGGACTACGGTGAAGGCAGTGAGGCAGAGCTGGCCCCAGAGACCCTGTGCAATGGGCAGCTCGGCTGCAGTGACCCCACTTTCCTCACGCCCAGGTAATGCCACCTTGTGCTGGTGCAGACTCCTTTCCCCCCTCTTCCCGTGGTTAGTTATCAGAAGTTTCCCTTTTTGGTTCGTACATTGGTAAGAGAGAACTTCCTTTTCTTGATGTAACGTGATTAAATAAACCATATTCAAAAATTTTAAATTTATACCTGGATGAAAGTTGGGTGAAGTTCCTCTGGTTCAGCTACATCCCCAGATCACTCCAAATCTCTGAGGCCTCAGCGGAACCTTGGTATAGAGCTGTGTTCGGACACTCAGCTTGCGGGTTCCTTAGCTGTGAGCAGTGGATCACATCGTGGTGTGTGCAGGCGTTTGAGGGAGGTCTTGAGATCACAAGTCAGTCTTTGGATTCATTTCCTTACAAATACCTGACATCCCCAAACTGGAAAGCTGTGGCTTCGAGTAAATAGAAGCATGACATCCGGCAGCCGAGAAGCCTGCTCACAGGTGTCCAGAGTGACTCTAGGGAGTACAGAGTCCTCTTGGTTTGGATCCAAACATGGGGTCTGGGCACCCACATCTGAGGGCTTGGGGCCCCCGAGTTAGGGGTCATCCCTCAAGGACACTCCTGACTTCAGAAGACCCCTGCCTGGCTGATGGCGCTGTCACTTCAATCCCCTCTCCCCTTTGCTACGGGGTTCTTGTTCTCCCTCTTTGCCAGCAGTCAAGGCTTAGTCTCTTTGTCTCTCTATTTTTTTTTTGAGACGGAGTCTCGACCTTTTGCCTGGTCTAGAGTGCAGTGGTGTGATCTTGGCTTGCTGCAACCTCTACCTCCTGGGCTCAAGCGATTCTCCTGCCTCAGCCTCCCGAGTAGTTGGGATTACAGGCGCCCACCACCATGCCCTGCTTATTTTTTGTACTTTTAGTAGAAATTGGGTTTCATTTTGTTGGCCAGGATGGTGTCAAACTTCTGACCTCGTGATCCTCCCACCGTGGCCTCCCAAAGCACTGGGATTACAGATGTGAGCCACCGTGCCTGGCTGAGGCCGCCTCTTTAAGCAGCTGCAAGAGTCTTTCCTTGCCCACTGCCCACCCGCTGTTACTGAGGCCCAGAGGCCCAGGGAAGGTGGGTGGAGGGCAGTGCAGGAGGGGCCACTTTTGTGCCGAGCACCTTGTCTGCCCATAGGGTCCCCCTCTATTCCCCATATGCCCTCCCCAAAGCCGCCCTTCAGTCCTGGGTGTGGGGACCCTGCACAGGTATCCTATGTGCTGGTTGGTCCCGGCGAGCGCCCTGGGAGAGTTGTGCGTGTGTGAGGCATCGCAGGTGGTCCTCAGAGGCACTTTCCTCTCCCAGCGCATGTGGTGTCGAGACCAGGGCCAGAGCACTGGGCGTTTCTGAACTGCGTGTCCCTGTGCTTGGTAGTCACCTCTTCCTCCAGTGTTTAGTTGGTCCCTGTCTCCTGTCAGTGTTCTCACTGTTGCCTGCTGAAGCTGTGATGTCTGCCACGTTGTGTGTTCACTTTTCGCCTTTCTTAACTTGAGCTTCCGAATGGTTTCCCATAGTCCCCGGGTCCCAGTGCCCGAGATGAGGCTGCCTTTGCTTTTTTGCCTTCCCATCACCCTCTGCCAGTGCCCAAGAAGCCTGCGGAGGTGCAGTCACAGGGAGGGTAAGCGCACCACCATGAAATAGAACACTGAGTTGTTTTTTTTTTTTTTTTTAAAGACGGGGTTTCACCATGTTGGTCAGCCTGGTCTTTTTTTTTTTTTTTTTTTGAGGTAGAGGTTGCAGCACTGCCAACCTCAGGTGATTCAACCACCTTGGCCTCCAAAGTGCTTGGATTACAGGCATGAGCCACCACGCCCAGCCAGAACACTGAGTTTTAACACAGGTCTTTTTTTTTGGAGACAGGATCTCACTGTATTGCCCAGGCTGCAGTGGCATAAGCGCCACTCACTGCAGCTTCAACCTCCCTGGGCTCACATGATCCTCCCACCTCAGCCTCCTGAGTAGCTGGGACTACAGGTGTGAGCTACCACGCCAGGCTAATTTTCGTATTTTTTTGTAGAGACAGGGTCTCACTGTTGCCCAGGTTGGTCTCAACCTCCTGAGCTCAAGTGATCCACCCACCTGGGTCTCCCACATTGCTGGAATTACCAGCATGAGCTGCCTGCCGTGCCCTACCTTAATGCATATCTTAAAAATCACACAGCTGTTGTAGATGTACCATTCATGCGTAGCTTTGCTAGAGGTGGTTTCTGGAGTGATTATAAACAGCACTCTGAGCACGAGTGTACCTGGGGGCATGCTTTGCCGCCACATTCACATGCTTTTGCCAAAAGAGAAAGCAGTGTGGTTGTTTACCTTCTTGTTAAAGAAGGGTTTTTGATTTTCGAGGAAGCTCTCGGGCTGCTCCTGCGTTGTTCTGGGTGCCTGACCCAGAGGAGCAGGTGTGTTCAGGGCCCCCCTGTTGCTCCGGCTGGTGCCTGTCCTGGGTGCCTGGAGGCAGCTGAGGGTTGTGGGCTCACTGCATTCTAAAGGCAAGAGCCAGAACAGTCCACAGCTCATTCTCTCACCATGTGCTTTTGTTCCGCACCGTGTCCTTCCTGTCCTGTTCTGTCCTGTTCTCAGCCCCTCGTGCAGAGTCACAGATGGCCCCATGGGTCCCCACCCTCTCCTGAACGGATGCTTCTGTCTCTCTAGCACTGACCCTCTTGCCGCAAAGCTGCACAGCATCCTCACTGATGAGGCGTTTGAGTTTTACTGTAGCCAGTGCCACAAACAAATCAACCGCCTTGAGGATCTTTCCGCCCGCCTGAGTGATCTTGAAATGAATAGGTAACTGACCAGTGCCTGGCCTTGCTGTCTGTTTTCAGGGTGTGGGGGAAACACACAGCCTGGTGATGCCCACAGCCCCCCTAGGGCCTGACCGGACCTCAGTGCTTCCTGAGGCCTGGCCTGGTTGCCCCGAGGCGACCAGGAGACACTCAGGCCTCGGGACTCTCCCTACGACCCTGCCTCCTTCCCTGCCCACCGTGGGCCACCAGGGCGCCGCCTCCTTCCCTGCCCGCCATGGGCTCCCTGGCGTGCCATGGGCCACCCGGGCTGGCATCCTCTTCTGCATGCCGTGGGCAGCCAAGGCCCCGCCTCCTCTCATGCATGCAGTGGGCCGCCTGGCTCGCCTCCTCCCCTGCATGCCGTGGGCCACCCGGGCTGGCATCCTCTCCTGCATGCCGTGGGCAGCCAGGGCCCCTCCTCCTCTCATGCTTGCGCAGCCCAGGCCGCTGCTTGTCTTGGTGGGAGGGTGATCAGTCTTTGCAAGCTGTACTGTCTGTTCCGTGTCTGAAGGAGGATACTTTCTACATTTTACTAGAAGATTTCTTTCATTGAGCTCATGAGACAGTTGGGAAAGGTAAAGATTTGGCCTTTAAGAACAGATGTGTAAACAGCTTTCAGGAATGTTAGTTCAAGTGGGGTTTTGTATACTCACAGTGAGCGTGTCAGGGAGCTCCATCCCTGTGTGTCGGCAGGGCAGCTCCTGTGGCTGGCTCCCCACCGCTAACCTCCAGTCACAGAAGACATTTTTGGGTGGTTTGCAGATATTGATGTGCCCGTTAGGGATCTTGTTGATTTCGCTTGCGGTAAAGCCTTTGGGGAAACCCCTGGGTAGGCAGCTCTCAAGGAGGGTCTGGAGAAGCGACGGGCCACTTTGGACTTCTCCACAGCAGCCACAGCCTAGCAGAGGAGGTGAGTGAGCAGGCAGGCTCATGCTGGAGATCTGGGCCAGCTTCCTGAAGAACAGGCCTTGGCCTATTGGGAGGGTTTGTAAAGGTGAGCTATCCTGATAGCTCCAGCGTGTTTAGGGGTCCATGTGAAACTGCTGACCTGTCTTGAGCCTGCTCCTGCCCCCAGGGGACTTCTGCCGAGGCCTTGGTGGTGGGCGCTCACTGCTCACAGCCTCATTGAGGCTTCTGTCCTGCCTCTAGTTCCATTCCCAGAGCAACTTAACTCTTCTTATGTTCCTTGAAATGCTTCAAAACACAGGGCCTCCAGCTAGTGCCCATTCAGATGGGAGGGTCGGGGTGGCACCCAGCCCTCATGGCCATTCTGGAGCACCAGGGAGTCTTGGCAGCATGAGGAGAAAGTGGAAATGCTCTTTGAAGAGGGCCTTCCTGGGAGACTTGAGGCCTTCCAGAATCTGGTGATGATTACAAAGATCTGCCACCCTCTATTTTAGGGGAAATCAGTTTGGGTTTGCTGTACGTGTGTTCAGCTGGGGGTTGAGGGCCCGAGAATAAAGGCTCAGCCTGGTTGGTGAGGGACCATTTGTTCTTCCCACACAGAGACTTGCTCTCCCACCCACTGATAAGTTGAGTTCAAGCCTGTCATCTCCGTGTGTGAAAGTAAACCTGAAGACTCAGGTCTCATCTCTCATTCTCTGAAGATTTTTGACATAGAAGTGAGTTATTCCCGCACTGAGAACTAGTTCCAAGATTGCCATGGTCACCTCTACTGGGCTTTGTGGGGGCAAAGAAGGGACTAGGGTGTAGCTAAGGACAACCAGCAAGTCCTGTGGTGCCTCATGTCCAGGTTCTACCGCCCTTTTTCCTGAGACTCAGTGAAGTGGGCCAGACACAATGGCTCACACCTGTAATCCCAGCACTTTAGGAGGCTGAAGCAGGCAGATCTCTTGAGGCCCGGAGTTTGAGACCAGCCTGGCCAACATGGCAAAACTATGTCTCTATTAAAAATATAAAAATTAGCCAGGCATGATGGTGCAGGCCTGTAGTTCCAGCTGCTTGGGAGGCTGAGATGGGAGGTTCACTTGAACCCAGGAGGTAGAGGCTGCTGTGAGCCAAGAGTGCACCACTGCACTCCAGCCTGGGCAACAGAGCCAAACTCTAACTGGAAAAAAAAACTACCAAGTGGTTAACATGCTATTCAATTCAACACAATCAGGACACACAACTGCCAGTCAGAAAGGTCTCCCGGTAACACTCAGTGGAGGAGATGTGAATCTTGCCTTTTGGTTTCCATGGAATTTCCTGAGAGTAAACTTACTTGGTCATGCTTTGTGAGTGACAAGAGGCGAGTTAGTCCAGCTCACCTCTGGAAGCTTTGATGTTGGATAGTGTCCAGTGGTGACCCTCAAACAGGCCCACAGCTGTTGCATTTTCCAGGTATCCTGGCGCCTCTAAAAACACTCCCTTTTGTAGAAAGTAAGAAGTGTGGGCTGGGCACGGTGGCTCAAGCCTGTAATCCCAGCACTTTGGGAGGCCGAGGCGGGTGAATCACGAGGTCAAGAGATCGAGACCATCCTGGTCAACATGGTGAAACCCTGTCTCTACTAAAAATACAAAAAAATTAGCTGGGCAGGGTGGTGCGTGCCTGTAATCCCAGCTACTCAGGAGGCTGAGGCAGGAGAATTGCCTGAACCCAGGAGGCGGAGGTTGTGGTGAGCCGAGATCGCGCCATTGCACTCCAGCCTGGGTAACGAGAGCGAAACTCCGTCTCAAAAAAAAAAAAGAAGTGTGCTGTGCCTGGAGGTTTACGTTCAAACTGTAAATGCTGCTGGGCTGCCGGCCCAGGCCTGAGAGTCAGTAATAAATTGAATGATGAGTCTGTCCTGTCCTGTTAGTTCTAGGCAGTCTCAGTAATAATAGGATAAAGCTAGATTTCTATTAAGGCTGGGCAGGGCAGCTCACACCTGTCATCCCAACGCTTTTGGAGGCCAAGGTGGTCAGATCACTTGAACCCAGGAGTTCTAGACCAGCCTGGCCAACATGGCAAAACCCCATCTCTACTAAAAATACAAAAATTAGCTAGGCAGGGTGGCACATGCCTGTAATTCCAGCTACTAAGTGGCTCAGGCACGAGAATCACTTGAATCTAGGAGGTGGACGTTGCAGTGAGCCAAGATGGCAGCACTGCACTCCAGGCTGGGCAACACAGACTCCTTCTGAAAAAGAAAACGTTTTTTAAAAAACAGAGCTGTATTAAAATATATATTATTAGCCTCTAGTCAGGAAAGGACAGTTACACAGTAATTTGAACAGGGAAAGTTTAATACAAAGAATGAGCTGGGTGTGGTGGTGCCCGTCTGTTATCCCAGTGCTTTGGGAGGCTGAGGCGGGAGGATCACATGACTGGGAGGTAGAGGCTGCAGTGAGCTGTGGTTGCACCACTGCATTTCAGCCTGGGCAACAGAGTGAGACCCCGTCTCTAAAAAAAGATAATAATATAAACAAACGGCCGGGTGCAGTGGCTCACGCCTGTAAGCCCAGCACTTTGGGAGGCTGATGCCCGTGGATCACGAGGTCAGGAGATCGAGACCATCCTGGCTAACACAGTGAAAACCCGCCTCTACTAAAAATATAAAAAATTAGCCAGATGGTGGCTTGTGCCTGTAATCCCAGCTACTCAGGAGGCTGAGGCAGAAGAATCGCTTGAACCCTGGAGTCAGAGGTTACAGTGAGCCAAGACGGTGCTGCTGCACTCCAGCCTGCGTGACAAAGCAAGAATCTGTCTCAAAAAAATAATAAAAGGCCGGGCGTGGTGGCTCACACCTGTAGTCCAAGCACTTTGGAGGCCAAGGTGGCCAGATCACCTGAGATCGGGAGTTCAAGACCAGCCTGGCCAACATGGTGAAACCCCGTCTTTAAAAAAATAAAAAGAAATTTAAAATAATAATAATACAAACAAAGAAAAAAAAATAAAAATCATTAGGGAAAGAAAATGACTTTCACAGCCATTTGGAGTAATGAGGCACTGGCTAGGATGAGTAAAAGAACTCTGCAGAGCATAGGGACACCAGCCACAGGTGCAGCCACCGGGTCCCCCAGCTGTAGCCTCGGCCACCCAGGGCTGAGGTCTGTGGTGGGCAAGACCCCTGTGCTGTCCAGGCTTCTGGAGAATCTGCCTCCTGGCTGCCAGGAAAGCTTTTCTCTTGCAGGACACTTGGCAGAGGCACCCACTAGAGCACAGCTACCTGAGGAGTCTGGCTACTGGCTGCAGTGGGCAGGACGCTCCTGGAGTGGGCGCCAGGGAGGCTGCATGTGTTGGAGGGCCGTGCAGCAAGTGGTCAGATCCAGGAGGCAAACTGCTTCCTGCTATGTTGGTTTCATGGCTCCCTCTGCTACACGGAGGAAGAACCTGCTAAGGGCCCAGCTCTGCTAATACCGGGCAGGTAAAAAGGATGGACTTGGAGCTGAGGGGCCCTACATTAACAGCTGGCACAGGAGCTGACTCCTTCAGATTTTTCTCCCTGACCAGAAAGGAAATCATAAATGTTCTTCAGACGAGTAAACTGAAGAGAGATGTGGCTTTTGAGTTTCAGGACCATGCTGGTTCGTAGGCCCCAGGGGACGTGTGTCTTCTTGCAGGCTGAGGCTAGTAGTTTAGCGGCTAGATTGGAAATTACAACTATGGACCTCAGAAATGAGAGAGAAGGTAAGTTTGGCCCATGTGCCACTGCAGATGTTTAAATCAGACAGATGATGTGTGCTTGGCTACATTTCCTGCCCTGAAATGGCAGTGGGAAAAGTTTCCAAACTGATGCCCGGGCAGGTGCTCTGAGCGTGACGCATCAGTGCCAAGCTTGAAGCCAGAGGCAAACTATCCTGTTAGGGCGGGATATCCCTGTTAGGGCGGGGCCTGGGTCACTTCTCACATGGGGGCCTCCAAAGGCCAAGTGTCTGGGGGTAATTTGGCTTCAGAAGCATTGGGACAGGGTGGCCAGCTGGCAGGACCAGGTGTGGCGCTGGCCCCTCGATTGCGGTCTGGAGTGGCTGCATCTGGAAGCCTCTTTGGGGGCCGGAGTAATGAGAGGTGCGCGGCCTCACCCGGTACCGCCCATGTCCTTGCTGTCTTGCTGAGTGAGCGTTTGTGCATGGGCTTGCCTGGGGGGCCCTGCATGCCAGGAGCGCCACTGAAAGACCGCCCGCCCTGTATGTCCACGGCCTGAGTTTCCTGCTTCCTCCTGCTCCTCTCTAACACTGTTTTCCTGTTTATTTTGTTTCCTGCAGTCCGACAAAGCGGCTCTCCAGCAAGAAGGTGGCCAGGTAGGTGGGTCTCCGGTTCCTACTAAAAAACGTTCTTCTGAAGTGGATTATTAATCATAGTTAAAAAAAAAAAAAAAATTTTTAGAAAATGTTATTTTCCATGGAATTTTTTAAACTCCTGCAAGTTACTTTTCATGGCTTTGGGCTGAAGGTATCCTGAGAGGGGTGTTGGGAAAGGGGTTTCCAGGGCTCTGAGTTTGGACCCGGATTTGTGACCAGGAGGTAGGTGTCAGAAGCTTTTGGTGCTGGGCCTGTTCTGTGCTCACTGCAAGATCTGGAAGGGGCCAGGTTTCCAAATGTCTGCTCTAGGTTGGCTCTGACTGGCCAGACCCAGTGAGGAACCTGGCTTCTCAGAGCTGGGTCTGGGCAGCTCCCCAAGGTGAGTTGAAGGTAGGGGGTGGGCCTGACTCCAATTCCTAAAGACCATTTCTTCATTTTTCAGCTATGCGCAGATCTGTTGGCTTCCTGCTGTGAAAGATGGCAACACACACTTTTATCTTCCTCCCCAGCCAGTTCTCAGCGAAATAAACATGCAGGGTTGAGGCCCTTCCCAGGGAGCCTCGAAATGTGGCTGCCGGGTGGCCTCTGCTGCCGTCAGGGACTGCCTTTGCATCTTCATGTGCCCTGCTTTCCCAGTGGCCGTCCTGCCTCCCACTTGAGGCCTCTCCAGCTTCCTCTGGAGCATCCCCTCTGGAGGCTCCTCTTTGCCCATGGTGCTCGTGGCTATGGTCCTGGGCAGGTCTCCTGACGCCAGTGGGTTTGTTTTGGGGGTTGGATTGTGTAGTGCCCTGGCCCCTTCTTCCTTCTTGTTTGTTTTCTCCGTGTTTTTGTCCAGCACATCTTTCTGTAGCTTCTTGAGAAAACGGGTGCCCGGAAGATAAACTTGAGACCGTGTTGGTTTGGACTGTGAGTGTGGATAGTTTTCTGGTAAGATTTTGAAGGCATTGCTCATCTTCCAGAGCTGGAGTTGCTACCATGAAGTTGAAGCTTTCTGACTTGGTTTCTTTGTGATCAGCCTGGGCAACATAGTGAAACCCTGTTTCTAGAATAAAAATGAAAATAAGGAAGAATAGACAAGGTCTTGCCGTGTTGCCCAGGCTGTAGTGCACTGGCTATTCACAGGTGCAACCATAGCCCACGATAGCCCCAGACTCCTGGGCTCATGTGATTGTCCCATCTCAGCCTCCCAAAGTTCTGGGATTGCAGCTTTGAGCCACCACATCCAGCCAAGGATGGAAACCTTTTGTTTTCCATTTTCTTTTATTTCGAGACATTGTCTTGCTCTGTCAGCCGGGCTGGAGTGCAGTGTTGTGATCACAGCTCACTACAGTCTTGACCTCCCAGACCTCCCAGCTCAAACAGTCCTTCCGCCTCAGCCTCCTGAGCAGCAGAGACCACAGGCACATGCCCCATGCCTAGATAATTTGTGGAGACAGGGGTTTTACTCAGTTGCCCAGACTGGTCTTGAACTCCTGGGCTTAAGCAGTCCTCCCACCTTAGCTTTCCAGAGTGCTGGGATTACAGGTGTGAGCCACTTGCACCCCACCTGTTTTCCATTTTCTGTCATCTTAGATCTTAGAGGCCAGGGGCTAGAGGAAGCAGAGGTGAATGTCATCACGCATCTTTTTCTAACCGTCTTCCCACTCACCCCTTGTAGAAAAGCACTGAGCTCTTAGGTATGTTACCACTTCAGCATCGCCTCCCTTCTCATTTCAGACAGTCTGCAGCTGGTGACATGAAAGGCCAGTCACGGCCAGCTGGAGCATCTCCTTGAGGCCTTCCATGCCTAGGATGGGGTGCAGCCTGCAGCTGGCTGTCACAGCTTCGTGTCAGAAATACCCTTTAAAATCTAATGTCTCCTTCATGGATACCCTTCAGTATCAGAAAAGCCCAGTCTGCAGTTACGTGTAGTTAGAGTTTACAAAAAGAGGCATAGTGTGCCGTATATGTGTCTGTCCACGTGTAAATATATATAACGTAACATTTAATCTGCTGTTTTGCCCCAAACGGGCCACAAGAGTCTAAAGCACAAAATAACCATGGTGATTGCCTTCCCACAGTTCTCAGCCCTTTTCACTGCACTGTTGGTGCAATGGTGGGTCCTGCGGCAGCTGTTACAGCCCCCGGGCCTGCTGCGTTACTAACCCCTCAGCCCTGTTCCTCCCCGTCTGCGAGATGGAAGGGGCTTTCTCCAGTCAGCCGTGTGTGCAGGGACAGGGATCCGGGAAGAGCAGACTCCATCAGGACAGGAGCAAGGGCTCAAAGCAGGCGGGCTCCCACGGCCCTGGGTGGGAGGCCTCAGGGACCCCCGTACCTCCTGGCTCACCGACCGGGCTTGACCTACTGTACTGCCCTTTGGGGCAGATCAGGCTTTTTCCACAGCTCCCTCTTGGGGTGGGAGAGAGTCCTCCCAAGTGAGGGTGGGGTGTAGCTGGAGAGTCCCTCTTTCTGGGGGATTTAAATAATTGAGGTCGCCATGTGTGGTGACTGCACACTGGGTGCCTGGGGATGGCCATGCCTCCCATCCCTGAGTCAGCCCCAGGAGTGCCTGCGCCTCTAGGACAGCTGAGACTGCTGACAGGCCCCAGGCTGCAGCCTCTCCTCAGGATGGGCTCTGGGACGCAGCGTCCTGCCTGGAGTGGCTCATGTCTGGGGGCAAGGTTGTGGGTGTTGAAGAGCCGCGACTGGCCAAGAGCATGATGTGTGTCGGCAGCAGCTTTTGAGAAGCTGATGAAATCCGCAGAGTCCCAGAGGGGCGCTCCTGTGTCCCAGCTGGTGCACGTTCACAGGGCTCGTGGTCTCCAGGGGTGAAGATACCCTTCTTTTTTCCGTCTCAGAGCATTTATGGGGAAAAAAATGGAAATGTTCAAGCTCAGTGGGTACTGAAAAGCAAATCGAATTTCATACACTTGATAGACATTTTCAGGGCAAAAACATTAACATTTTATTGAATTCTTCCTCTGCTGTGTTTCTAGCCAAGCTGTTTGTGTGCTTGACCTTGGTTAAACCTCAGATTGCCTCTAGATCCCCATTTCATAGGCAGGGAAGGCTCAGAGAGGGTCAGTGCTTTCTCAGGGTCACACGGCTCAGTACTGAGGCTCCCAGGATGTATTAAGGACTCAACACGCCATTTTGCTGTTGGCACTTGTGTGCAGATGTTCATTTTCTGTACTCCCAGCAAGTTAGGGTTGATGCACATTCACTGCAGCTAATCTGGCCATGTGGTCATGAGCACCCGCTTACTGCACACCTGAGTTCGCTGCGCACCTGAGTTCACACTTGTTGGAGCAGCTTCTGCCCCAGGGCCACAGCCTATGGGCCTTTGGGTTCACACAGGACCACAGGGCTGAGGGTCCCCGAGCCTGGCCTGGGTAGTACCTGGCATGGCCTACAGGGCTGCGGGTGCATCCACAGGAGCCTTCCTGGACTTGGTTGGACCAGGTTCCCAGTGTGTCCTTGAGGGTGACACTGAGTGAGACTTCTGGGATCCACACCTTTCTTAGGACCCTCACCAATCCTGCCACAGAGAGCACCTGTGAAAGAACAAGACCAAGAATGTGCATGTGGGAGGTGTATGCAGGTCTAGGTCCTGACTGATATCTCACGAGCCTCTGGTAGAGACGAGATTGTTCATGTCTCCCCGACGAAGGGCATCATGTTTTATTGTACCTGAGTACAAAGTCCTCTCTGCTATTCACTGGCTGGGACTGAGGTGTTCTGTCAGGCTCCAAAGAGCGCCAGGAGGACTCTGAGACCACGGAGCATGGGCTGCTAGCTCCCAGCCCCTGGTACAGATGTCTGGCCTGGGACCCCCACTGTATGTAGTGCTTTAATTGGGAGGAGAACACCGCCCAGGAGAGGGGGAGGACCTGTCCCCAACAATGCTCCTGCCTGCTTTTCAGATTGACATGGAAGTGCTCCTGCTGATGGAGCTTGTCCTGTGGTTTTTCCCTTTCTTCCCTCTGCTGTTGTGTCTTTTCCATAGATACCTGCACCAGTCAGGGGCCCTGACCATGGAGGCCCTGGAGGACCCTTCGCCCGAGCTTGTGGAGAGCCCAGAGGAGGACATTGCTGACAAGGTAGGCACTGAAGGGCTGGGTAGGTGGCAAGTGGGGGATTTATAACACACCACGCCTGAGGGCTTCTGCAGATACCCAGGACAGCACAGCTGGAGGTGACCTCGTGTCATCCGGGGCTCCCCAGACCCTCCGTCCAGCGCCAATGCTGTGGCACGTTTCCCAGGGGATCTTGTGGCTGTGTGAAAAGAAGGAGCCATCCTATTTGCGGGAAGGGCCAGCTCAGAGCAGTGGACCGGGCAGTGACAGTGAGAGTCCTTGGGTATCCCGCCCCGCACTGTGTCTGAGTCAGGTCCAGGGACACCCCAGACATTCAGTCCACCAGGCCGGTGGAGACAGTATCGGAGGCATTCGCAATCTGGGAGAAGAGGGCTGGCCCTGCGGTGACTGCAGAGCCAACACCTGAGGAATGGGCTTCTCCTGGGGACTGAATGCAATGATTGACAGCAGCCAGGGCAGGGCAGCCTTGCCCTACTCAAGAGCTGCTTTTCGGCTGGGTGCGGTGGCTCACACCTGTAATCCTAGCACTTGGGGAGGCTAAGGCGGGCGGATTACTTGAGGTCAGGAATTTGAGACCAGCCTGGCCAACATGGTGAAACCTCGTCTCTACTACTGAAAATACAAGTTAGCTGGGCGTGGTGCGCACCTGTAGTCCCAGCTACTCTGTAGGCTGAGGCAGGAGAATCACTCGAACCTGGGAGGTGGAGGTTGCAGTGAGCTGAGATTGTGTCATTGCACCCCAGCCTGGGCGACAGAGCAAGACTCCTTCTCAAAAAAAGAAAAAAAAAGACCTGTTTTTCAAGGACCAGTCTGACCTTCAGGAGAAGGGGGGGTAAAGAAGCACCCACCCCATGTCCTCTGGCAACCCCTCCACTCCTCCTGTGCCCCCCTCACCTTCTCCTCTACCCTCTCACCTCCTCCTGTACCCCTGCCTCCTCCAACACCCCACCTCCCCCTGTACCCCCTCACTTCCCCCTGTACCCCTTCACCTCCCGCTGTACCCCCTCACCTCCCCCTGTACCCCCTCACCTCCCCCTGTACCCCCTCACCACCCCCTGTACCCCTTCACCTCCCCCTGTACCCCCTCACCTCCCCCTGTACCCCTTCACCTCCCCCTGTACCCCCTCACCTCCCCCTGTACCCCCTCACCTCCCTCTGTACCCCTCACCTCCTCCTGTACCCCCTCACCTCCTGCATCCACTCACCTCCTCCTGTACCCCCTCACCTCCTCCTGTACCCTCTCACCTCCCCCTGTACCCCCTCACCTCCCCTATACCCCCTCACCTCCCCCTGCACCCCCTCACCTCCTCTTGCATCCCCTCACCTCCTCCTGCATCCCCTCACCTCCTCCTGTACCCCCTCACCTCCTCCTGTACCCTCTCACCTCCCCCGTACCCCTTCACCTCCCCCTGTACCCCTTCACCTCCCCCTGTACCCCCTCACCTCCCCCTGTACCCCTCACCTCCTCCTGTACCCCCTCACCTCCTCCTGCATCCCCTCACCTCCTGCTGAACCACCACCTCCTCCTGTACCCCCTCACCTCCTCCTGTACCCCCTCACCTCCTCCTGCAGCTCAGTTCCTCTTGGATCCCTGCTTCCTCCTCCCTACAACGTCTGTAGCATCTCAAGTCTGCTGACCCAGCCTGAGTCCTCTGCTCACTTCAGTCCTCCTTCTACCTCTGCAGGTGTCTGAATCTCATCTTCCTGTGAACTCTCTGAGGGAGGGAGGGACTAAGACAGGAGTCTCTCTATACCTTGCATCCATGGGCCCCTGGGCTGCCTCTGAGCTACATCTGGTTGAGCAGAGATCCCACCTGTGTGTAGGGGGCTGAGTCTTGCTGCCCACGAGCCAGCCAGTCCAAAAGCACCCCTGGGCCCCTACGCCTTAGAGCTGCTGCAATATGTGCATTTTTGGCATCGAGATGACAGTGCTCCCCGAGCCCCTGACCCCATTAGGAGCTACACCTTCGTGGGTTTATGGGACAGGCTCCAAGGATAAGTTGGACCCAACTCTAGCCTAGTTGGGTGGCTCTGATTCTGTGCTGAGAAAATCCCTGGGGGGCCTCCCAGGTAGTTCTGCTTCCTGCTACCTGACCCTGAAACCTGGTCTCATTGCCAAGGTCGTCTTCCTGGAAAGGCGCGTGCTGGAGCTGGAAAAGGACACAGCTGCCACCGGCGAGCAGCACAGCCGCCTGAGGCAGGAGAACCTGCAGCTGGTGCACAGGTGAGCCTGGACCAGGAGACCCAGGCCTCTGCATGGTGCCTCCTGTGCCCACCTATCAGCCCCCATTTAGTTCTCTACCTCACACAGTAGGGGTTTGGTTACCCATCCATCCCAGTGTGGGAGCCGGCTCAGGGGGTGGTGCCAGGTGGTCACCTGAGGCTACCCAGTGGGCTGCAGGCAGGCTACCTGAGGCTCTGACAGATGCTCTTGAGGGGAGGTGTCCATGGAACCCTAGACACACATAGGGCCCCAGAGGGAGGCACTGAGACCTGGCCCCCACAGGAGGAACTGACTGAATGCACAAGGGCGCGGTACGCAGCCTCACCAGCAGGCCGGGAGTGCAGCTCTCCCACCAGGCTGGTCCACGTGGGGTTTGCCTGTCCGGGAAGAAAGCAGGTGAGAAAAGTTGCTCAGCAGCAGAGCAAAATGAGCAGAGACTGCTGAATATGTGACACAATGAGCAGCCCAATCTCAGGTGGGCAGGATTGCTAGGGTGGAAGTGTGGTGTGACGGCCGTGTTTGCAGAGGGAGAGTGGGAGCTGCTTACCCCGCTCCTGTCTGCAGACTTTTCTTAGAATACCTTGTAATTCTCAGCGTTTTTCAAACCAGGCACGCCATATCTCATAACTGATTGGCAGTACTGTTTCTTGTGCAGAGTAAGATTAGCTTGTGTCAGGAGTCAGCCACCCAGACTCTGCCACCTGCAGCTGGGCACTGTGGGGGCACAAGCAGCCCCTTGGGGGCAGAGGAGTCAGCCGGGAGGCCTGAGAGGCACCTGCGGAATCTGCAGAAGAGCTTCTTCCTATGAGCCTCTGTCCCTGCCCAGCCACCTGGGCACATCCTGGCTCCTGCACATATTCTCAGCTCAGCCTCAGTGTCTTCATCACCACTGAGCAGGTCGATTTAGGGCTCTGAGCAGCCTGGACACAGGCCTGCGCGCAGGTGTGTTGGCAGCAGGGCATTTGCGGTATCCCCAAAGCCCCCAAGCCCTCACCCTGCGTGGTACTAACATTCCTGACCCATCCTTCAGCTTCAGATCAGTCTGCCTTGCGAACGCTGAGAACTGGAATGCCTCATGGGATTGTGGCATACCTTGCACATTGCTTTAATTTTAACCAAGTAAAGCGTGTTCTCTTGTGAAGTGTAGACCCTGGGCGTGGTGGCTGCCTTTTCTCCAGGTTCTCAGCAGAGGAGGGCCTGCCACCAGCATCTGCTGCACAGTGGGGAGAGGCACGCTGGAAGAGGCTGAGCTCCAGTAGTGTGTTACATGGATGCTGTACCTCCAAAGACCACTGGCTCCTCCTTGCCAAGGAGGATCCAGAGGGGTCACCGGATGCACTTGTTTTGTTTTAAGAGACAAGGTCTCGCTCTTGCTCAGGAAGAGTGCTGACTACAGCCTCTACCTCCCAGGCTCAAGCGACCCACCTGCTTCAGCCTTCCATGTGGCTGGGACTACAGGTATGCACCACCGCTCCAGCTGTTTTATTTTATTTTATCTGAGATGGAGTCTGGCTCTGTCGCCCAGGCTCGAGTGCAGTGGCATGATCTCGGTTCACTACAACCTCCGCCTCCCAGGTTCCAGCGATTCTCCTGCCTTAGTCTCACCAGTAGCTGGGACTACAGGTGTGAGCCACCATGCCCAGCTAATTTTTGTTTTTAGTAGAGATGGGGTTTCACCATATTGGCCAGGCCTATCTTGAACTCCTGACCTCGTGATCCGCCCACCTCAGCCTCCCAAAGTGCTGCCATTGCAGGCATGAGCCACCACTGTGCTTGGCCTAATTTCTAAATTTTTTGTAGAGATGAGGTCTCATCATGTTACCCATTCTGGTCTCAAACGCCTGGCTTCAAGCGATCCTCCCACCTTTGTCCCCCAAAGTGCTGAGATCAGGGGCATGAGCCACTGTGTCCTGCCTAGATGCCCTTCTCAAGCTGACTGTCAAGGTTTCATTTGAGTCTGAAGTATGTTCGTCAGTTTTCCGTGTGTGTGGTGTGAAGTCCACACTCCTGCCTTGCTCCGCCCACTGCTCGTCCACGTCGGCATCCACAGCCACAGCCACAGCCACAGCCCTGGCCACGTTCAGTTCCTGTGGTACTCACCTGTGCTGTCCTAAACAACACGTTTCCCATTTTCAGTGTCATCTGACACTGCTACTGAAGAGCTTTCTGCTCTCTAGCCCTGCCGCACAGCCGTCATCCTAAGAATTCAAGTGCATTCTCCCGTGTTGGGTTCTGTATTTTCTGGGTTGTACGTTTTCTTGTGTTTTGCCGACTCATTTTCTGAGGACATCACTGATAGTTGCCTGGAAAAGGGAGCCCAGGAGCCAGATGCTCTGAGAATTGCTTGTCTGGAAGTGCTTATTCCTCGCACCCCGTTCCAATCCATAGTGTAGCTGGGCGTAAAATTCTAGGTCAGAAATAGGATTCCCTGAGAAGTTGAGGACCTCTGACCCCATGCCTGGTGCTGCTGAGTCTTGCTGTTCTCCATGACTTCTGTTTCCCACCCTAGATACTTGGGTGAGGATCTCATATTATTTGCAGTGCTGTGCACTTGGTTTTTAGCTTTTTTTCTTTTTTTTTTTTTTTGAGACGGAATCTTGCTGTGTCGCTCAGGCTGTTGTGCAATGGCACAATCTCTGCTCACTGCAACCTTTGCCTCCTGGGTTCAAGCGATTCTCCTGCCTCAGCCTCTCAAGTGGCTGGGATTACAGACGTGTGCTACCACACCCTGCTAATTTTTGTCATTTTTGTAGAGACGGGGTTTCACCGTATTGTCCAGGATGATCTTGAATTCCCGACCTCAAGTGATCTGCCCGCCTTGGCCTCCCAAAGTGCTGGGATTATAGGCGTGAGTCACTACACCGGGCCTAGGTTTTCAGCCTTTAAATCTGGAAAATGCACCCTTCTGCTTTGGGAGGACTTCTAAAGTTACTTCACGGGCCGTCTCTCCCTCGCTCATCTGTCTGAACAGCTGCTAGTCACACAGTGGGCCTTCTGGTTATATCTACTTTTTTAAACTTCCCTCATCTCTAACTTTGTCTTTTCTTTTTTAAAATCCTCAGTTTTTTCCTTCAATTCTTTTTTTTTTTTTTTTGAGGTGGAGTTTCAGTCTTGTTGCCCAGGTGGGAATACAATGGTGGGATCTCGGCCCACCGCAGCCTCCACCTCCTGGGTTCAAGTGATTCTCCTGCCTCAGTCTCCCAAGTAGCTGGGATTATAGGCACACGCCACCACACACAGCTAATTTTGTATTTTTAGTAGAGACAGGGTTTCTCCATGAGGTCTCGAACTCTGGACCTCAGGTGATCCCCCCGCCTCAGTCTCCCAAAGTGCTGGGGTTACAGGCATGAGCTGTTGCTCCCGGCTCTCCTTCAACTCTTAATCCGATTGTTTTTTCTTTCTTTCTTTTCTTTTTTTTTTTTTTTTGAGACGTAGGCTCACTCTGTTGAGAGTCTGAAGTTGAGCGCCACGATGTCAGCTCATTGCAACCTCTGCCTCCTGGGTTCAAATGATTCTCGTACCTCAGCCTCCCGAATAGCTGGGACTGCAGGCACCCGCCACCACACCGGGCTAATTTTTGTATTTTTACTAGAGACGGGGGTTTCACCATATTGGCCTGGCTTGTCTCAAACTCCTGATCTCAGGTGATCTACCCACTTCAGCCTCCCAAAGTGCTTGGATTATAGCTGTGAGCCTGGCATCTTAATCGGATTTTTAGATTGCTCTCCCTATGCTTTCAATTCCTGGGAGCTTCTTCCTTATTTGTGTCTTGTGTAGCAGGCTGCCCTGACGCTGCAGCTGTGGCTCTCCGCTCTCGGAGGGTGCTGGCTTGTGCTGGCTTTAGGGCCTTTGCCTGCTGTCTCCCGTGTGATGTGTCTCCCTGGGGTACTCGCCTGGTGTTTGCTTTGGCCACTTCTTGTTGAAAGCTTTCCTGTTGTGTCTGGTGATCTGTGGCCATCTGTTCGCTGGCATGTGTGAGGCACCACAGGATAAGAGGGTCTGTGTGAGGCAGGGGCTGCAGGCATGGGCTGTGCTGTGTCAGTGGGTGGGGCCTGCGCCCTTACAGTTCAGTCCTGTCTCCTGTGGATGGTTGTGATGATCTAGGGAAGGCCAGGGTCTCCCAGCCCTGTGGGAATGTTCCCTTTTCCCTGTGGTCTAGCCAACACCTGCCCTGCCTCTGCTCTGAGGTGACCTGGATGGGACTGATCTCTCTACCCACTTCCCCAGCTTCTATATAGGAGACTGGGAGCAGAGTGGGCTCCCCTCCAGCTGTGGTACCTCACAGCCTTTGGGGCCTGGATGTGCCCAGAAGCCACAACCAGACTCAGCCTGTCTCCGATGTGGACCCAGCAACTCAGGAAGCCTCCCGAGCACCATTGACATGTGTTACGAGCTGAGTTTTCTGCAGCTGAAGCCCAGACATCCCCAGCACACTCGGTTCCTCAGTGGTCAACTGCCATAGGCCACGTGTTTGATCACTCACTCACTCCCTGGAAATGCTGTGGTCCTTGGGCCCTGTGCCTTCATGCTCCCTGCTGAGGCCTCCTGCGTCTGGGCTCAGAGTGCACTCATTGTATGTAGTGGCTGCCGGTGGAACAGCTGCTAGCTTCAATATAAAGTGCCTCAGAGGCAGTCACTTGGTGGGCTCAGGCCCTCTGGGTGCTGTGGTCCACAGGCCACAAGCCAGCAGTGCCTGTGGGTATCAGCTGGGCTGGGGTGCAGTGGACACTGTTCTAGTCATCCCAGGTGCCTTTAGTTTGGGAGGTGTGGCCATCTGGGGTGTGGTCCCTGCTTCAGAACTGCCTTGACCAGAGTTTGGGAATGCCCTTCCCATCCCCTCTTCCAGGCCGGGGCAGGTTCTCTGGAGGTCCTGATATAGCTTCTGGGCAGGGGTGGAGCCACTGCACACCCTGCCTGGAGACAGCTCAACTCCTGCCTTTGTCTTTCAAGAGCAAATGCCCTGGAGGAGCAGCTGAAGGAACAGGAGCTGAGAGCCTGCGAGATGGTCCTGGAAGAGACCCGGAGACAGAAGGAGCTCCTATGCAAGATGGAGAGGGAGAAGAGCATCGAGATCGAGAACCTGCAAGCCAGGTAGGTGAGGTTCCCAACAGCCCACTCACCCCAGAACCTGCAGGCCAGGTAGGCGAGGTTTCCAAAACCCCACTCACCCCAGAACCTGCAGGCCAGGTAGGCGAGGTTTCCAAAACCCCACTCACCCCAGAACCTGCAGGCCAGGTAGGTGAGGTTTCCAAAAGCCCCACTCACCCCAGAACCTGCAGGCCAGGTAGGTGAGGTTTCCAAAAGCCCCACTCACCCCAGAACCTGCAGGCCAGGTAGGTGAGGTTTCCAAAAGCCCCACTCACCCCAGAACCTGCAGGCCAGGTAGGCGAGGTTTCCGACAGCCCACTCACCTCAGAAAGCTGCAGGCCAGGTAGGCGAGGTTTCCGACAGCCCGCTCACCTCAGAAAGCTGCAGGCCAGGTAGGCGAGGTTTCCGACAGCCCGCTCACCTCAGAAAGCTGCAGGCCAGGTAGGTGAGGTTTCCGACAGCCCGCTCACCCCAGAAAGCTGCAGTGGCTAGGAATAACCTTAATTTTAGAAAAAGGGAAAAAGGTATGTAGAGAAAACCTTACAACTCTCCCAAAGGCCACAAGAGATCAGTTCAAATACTGACCCTATGTGGGTATCAGTTTCTCTAAATTTATGTCGAATCAATGTAGTCAGTCTTTTTAAAATACCAATCTTTTTTAAAGAGTATTTGATAAAATTACTTTTACATTCATCTGGAGACATAGCCTTGGATGAGTCAGAAAAAGGAAAACAGAGAGGAAGGGGATTAATGATACTATTATAAAGGAGGCTGGGTGTGGTGGCTCACAGTTTTAATCCCAGCACTTTGGGAGGCTGATGCAGGCTGATCACTTGAGGTCAGGAGTTCAAGACCGTCCTGGCCAACATGGTGAAACCTTGTATCTACTAAAAATAAAAATTAAGGCTGGTCGAGGTGTCTCATGCCTATAATCCCAGCACTTTGGGAGGCGGGTGGATCACAAGGTCAAGAGATCGGGACCATCCTGGCCAACAGCTGGGCATGGTGGCTCTCGGCTGTAGTCCCAGCTACTGGAGGGGCTGAGGCAGGAGAATCATTTGAACCCAGAAGGCAGAGATAGCAGAGAGCCAAGATCAGGTCACTACACTCCAGCCTGGTGACTGAGCGAGATGCCATCTAAAAAATAATAATAAAAATAATAAATTTTTTAAAAATACGATTAGCTAGGCAAGGTGGCACATGCCTATAATCTTAGCTACTCAGAAGGCTGAGGCATGAGAGTGGCTTAAACCTAGAGGCAGAAGTTGCAGTGTGCTGAGATCGCACCACTCTAGCCTAAATGACACAGCAAGATTCCATCTCCAAAAAAATTTTTAATTAATTTAAATATATATATGTGTATATATAATGAAGATTTTAAAAGTTATTGCTATTTTTTGAGTTGAAGTCTTGCTCTGTTGCCCACGCCGGAATGCAGTGGCACAGTCTCAGCTCATTACAACTTCTGTCTCCCGGGTTCAACCTGCTCTCCTGCCTGAAACTGGGACTACAGGTTCGTGCTACTGCACCCGGCTTTTTCCTGTGTTTTTAGCAGAGATGGGGTTTCACCATGTTGGCTAGGCTGGCCTTGAATTCCTGACCTCAGGTGATCCGCCTGCCTCGGCCTCCCAACGTGCTGGGATTATAAAAATAATTTTGGCGTGAGCCATCACACCTGGCCAAAATAATTTTCATTTTTTAAGAGTCTTGCTTTGTCATCTAGGCTGGAGTGCACTGGTGCTACCTCTGCTCACCGCAACCTCTGCTTCCCAGGTTCAAGTGATTCTCCTGCCTCAACCTCCTGAGTAGCTGGGATTATATAGGTGCCCAGCACCGACCCAGCTAATTTTTGTATTTTTCAGTAGAGGTAGGGTTTCACCATGTTGGCCAGACTGGTCTCAAACTGCTGACCTTGTGATCCACCCACCTTGGCCCCCAAAGTGCTGAGATTACAGGCATGAGCCACCATGCCCAGCCAAAAATTATTATTTTTTTGAGACAGAGTCTTGTTCCGTCGCCAGGCACCAGGCTGGAGTGCAGTGACGCAATCTTGGCTCACTGCAACCTCTGCCTCCCGGGTTCAAGCAATTACGCCTCAGCCTCCCAGGTAGCTGGGACTACAGGTGTACACCACCATGCCCAGCTAATTTTTGTATTTTTAGTAGAGACGGGGTTTCACCATGTTGGTCAGGATGGTCTCCATCTCCTGACCTTGTGATCTGCCCGCCTCGGCCTCCCAAAGGGCTGGGATTACAGGCGTGAGCTGGGATTACAGTGCCCAGCCAGAAATTGTTACTTTTAATAGAGAAGGGGGTCTTGCTGTGTTGGCCAGGCTGGTCTTGAACTTCTGCACTCAAGCAGTCCTCCCACCTTGGCCTCCCAAAGTGCTGGGATTACAGGCATGAGCCACTGTGCCTGGCCAAGGCACTGAATTAAAGTAGCACAGTACTCCTTCAGGGTGCCTCCAGAAGTCCACATCTAGGACCTGATGCTGTGGATACCTGGTGTGTGTTTACAAATACACTTGCAAGGGATGTTCTTCATTTTCTATCAAAGTATCAGATAACTTAAAGTGTCTGTAGTCGGAGGAATCTAGAGTTGTCTCTCCTGAGCATGATGCTGCACTCCCAAGGGCTCCTTGTGTGCCTGGGTAGTGAGTGGAGGAAGCTGTTTTATACAGTTGTTTGTTTGGAGATAGGATCTTGCTCTGTGCCCCCGGCTGGAGTGCAGTGTCCCTATCATGGCTCACTGCAGCCTTGAACTCCTGCGCTCAAGCGATCCTCCTGCCTCGACCTCCTGAGTTGCTGGGCTACAAGTATGCTCTGTGACACCTGGCTAACGTTTAATTTTTGGTAGAGATGAGGTCTCGCTGTGTTGCCCAGGCTGGAACTCTTGAACTCTTAGCTTAAAGCGACTCTCCCACCTCGGCCTCTTGTTGTTGCTGTTTTCCTCTTCATACTCTCAGCCTCTTCAAGTGCTGGGATTGTGGGCATGAGCCGCCTCACACGGCTTTTTTAAACTGAGAGTGTACTACTTTTAGATTTCGAAATACAGTAGCTTTCAATATTCCTGAAAGAGGATTTCAGGTTCTTTTGCTTGTGTTCCTTCCAGCTCTTAAAGCTAAGAAGTTCATATTTGCCTTATCTAAGAAGAGCTCTTAGGCATTTTCAAAAGTGGGTAGCAGGAAGGGGCCTGCACTCAAAGAGCTGTGTGGGGTCCCCTCTGTGCCTGCCATTGCAGTGGGGCACCGTCTTCTGGGGAGCAAGGTCAGGGCAGCCAGGAAAAAGTGTTCTGCCCTGGTCTTGGCACAGTGCAGTCGAGTGGGCTGGAAATTGAGGTACGTTTCTTGTCTGTGAGCACCAGGGAGCACCTCCCATGGGACCTTTCAGCGGCACAGCCTTGTGGACAAGCTGCCCTCTCTGTCTGCTCTGGTGTGGAGGGGCACAAGAGAGGGGTCTCATGTGGCCCTCAGGGAGCAAGCAGGGCTGCATGTCGCTGCCTCTGTGAGCAAGCCGGCTGCCTGCCCCATGCCCTTGGGGTCAGTGCCACCATCTTCTGGACCTTGTCAGCCTCCTGTAGCTTCATGGGGTAGCCACCAGGAACCTTGTGGTTCTCAGGGCTGCTCAGGCCCTCAGAGGCCCCTGCAGCCCCAGGTCAGCAAACTGCGGTCAGCCCAGCACAGGGGCCTCTGGCATCTTGGGAACTGTCCACAGCTTAGCCTCTGCCCATCTGGTGTATAGGAAGACTGTGGTCAGTGCAATGACACTTTGTCAGTCCAGGGTCCTTCAGGAGCAGAGGATCTGAAGGCAGGATCCCACAGCACCTACCTCGGAACCCCCTAGGAGCAGCAGGGGTGGCTGTCTATACAACTGCAGTGCCAAGAAAACAGCTGCATTTTGGGAGTGGGGCCTCAGTAGAGCAAGAGTTAAAGCTGAAAGGGCATAGAGAAGACTGAGGGGTCGCAGGGGCCGGAACTTTGGACATCCTTGTGGAGGGATGGGGAAGGAAAAATGTGTGTCATCAGCAGGATGGGGCTGTGCGAAAGTCACAGGCAGAGATCTGAATCTCAGGACACCGGGCCCAGGAGAGGTTCTAGGAAAGGCTAGGTACCTCTGGGAGTAGAGCCCGCAGAAAGTATGGGAGCACCTGGCAGCCTGCAGAGAGCTGGAGTGAGGGCTGATGGTGCCACAGTGGCAGCAAACACGGAGCCCAGGGCTTGATGTGCAGCTTATGGCATCTGCTATACCTCCGGCACTGGGGGCATGAGCCATTATCAGACACAGAGTGACCTGGGTGAGCGTGGCCCTGGTGTGCCCTGCTATACCTCCGGCACTGGGGGCATGAGCCATTATCAGAGACAGAGTGACCTGGGTGAGCGTGGCCCTGGTGTGCCCTGCTATACCTCCGGCACTGGGGGCATGAGCCATTATCAGAGACAGAGTGACCTGGGTGAGCGTGGCCCTGGTGTGCCCTGCTATACCTCCGGCACTGGGGGCATGAGCCATTATCAGAGACAGAGTGACCTGGGTGAGCGTGGCCCTGGTGTGCCCTGCTATACCTCCGGCACTGGGGGCATGAGCCATTATCAGAGACAGAGTGACCTGGGTGAGCGTGGCCCTGGTGTGCCCTGCTATACCTCCGGCACTGGGGGCATGAGCCATTATCAGAGACAGAGTGACCTGGGTGAGCGTGGCCCTGGTGTGCCCTGCTATACCTCCGGCACTGGGGGCATGAGCCATTATCAGAGACAGAGTGACCTGCATGAGCGTGGCCCTGGTGTGCCCTGCTGTACCCCCAGCGTTGGGGGACGTGGCCCATCGTCACAGACACAGAGTGACCTGGGTGAGCGTGGCCCTGGTGTGCCCTGCTGTACCCCTTGGCGTTGGGGGACATGGCCCATCGTCACAGACACAGAGTGACCTGGGTGAGCGTGGCCCTGGTGTGCCCTGCTGTACCCCTGGCGTTGGGGTATGTGCCCTGTCAGAGACACAGAGTGACCTGGGTGAGCATGGCCCTGATGTGCCCTGCTGTACCCCTGGCGTTGGGGTATGTGCCCTGTCAGAGACACAGAGTGACCTGGGTGAGCATGGCCCTGGTGTGCCCTGCTGTACCCCTGGCGTTGGGGTATGTGTCCTGTCAGAGACACAGAGTGACCTGGGTGAGCGTGGCCCTGATGTGCCCTGTTGTACCCCTGGCGTTGGGGTATGTGTCCTGTCAGAGACACAGAGTGACCTGGGTGAGCATGGCCCTGGTGTGCCCTGCTGTACCCCCGGCGTTGGGGGACGTGGCCTGTCAGAGACACAGAGTGACCTGGGTGAGCATGGCCCTGGTGTGCCCTGCTGTACCCCCGGCGTTGGGGGACGTGGCCTGTCAGAGACACAGAGTGACCTGGGTGAGCATGGCCCTGGTGTGCCCTGTTGTACCCCTTGGCGTTGGGGTATGTGTCCTGTCAGAGACACAGAGTGACCTGGGTGAGCATGGCCCTGGTGTGCCCTGCTGTACCCCCGGCGTTGGGGGACGTGGCCTGTCAGAGACACAGAGTGACCTGGGTGAGCATGGCCCTGGTGTGCCCTGTTGTACCCCTGGCGTTGGGGTATGTGTCCTGTCAGAGACACAGAGTGACCTGGGTGAGCGTGGCCCTGGTGTGCCCTGCTGTACCCCTGGCGTTGGGGTATGTGCCCTGTCAGAGACACAGAGTGACCTGGGTGAGCGTGGCCCTGGTGTGCCCTGCTGTACCCCTGGCGTTGGGGGACGTGGCCCATCGTCACAGACACAGAGTGACCTGGGTGAGCATGGCCCTGGTGTGCCCTGTTGTACCCCTGGCGTTGGGGTATGTGTCCTGTCAGAGACACAGAGTGACCTGGGTGAGCATGGCCCTGGTGTGCCCTGCTGTACCCCCGGCGTTGGGGGACGTGGCCCATCGTCACAGACACAGAGTGACCTGGGTGAGCGTGGCCCTGATGTGCCCTGTTGTACCCCTGGCGTTGGGGTATGTGTCCTGTCAGAGACACAGAGTGACCTGGGTGAGCATGGCCCTGGTGTGCCCTGCTGTACCCCTGGCGTTGGGGTATGTGCCCTGTCAGAGACACAGAGTGACCTGGGTGAGCGTGGCCCTGGTGTGCCCTGCTGTACCCCTGGCGTTGGGGTATGTGTCCTGTCAGAGACACAGAGTGACCTGGGTGAGCGTGGCCCTGGTGTGCCCTGCTGTACCCCTGGCGTTGGGGTATGTGCCCTGTCAGAGACACAGAGTGACCTGGGTGAGCGTGGCCCTGGTGTGCCCTGCTGTACCCCTGGCGTTGGGGGACGTGGCCCATCGTCACAGACACAGAGTGACCTGGGTGAGCGTGGCCCTGGTGTGCCCTGCTGTACCCCTGGCGTTGGGGTATGTGCCCTGTCAGAGACACAGAGTGACCTGGGTGAGCATGGCCCTGGTGTGCCCTGTTGTACCCCTTGGCGTTGGGGTATGTGCCCTGTCAGAGACACAGAGTGACCTGGGTGAGCATGGCCCTGGTGTGCCCTGCTGTACCCCCGGCGTTGGGGGACGTGGCCCATCGTCACAGACACAGAGTGACCTGGGTGAGCGTGGCCCTGATGTGCCCTGTTGTACCCCTTGGCGTTGGGGTATGTGCCCTGTCAGAGACACAGAGTGACCTGGGTGAGCATGGCCCTGGTGTGCCCTGCTGTACCCCCGGCGTTGGGGGACGTGGCCCATCGTCACAGACACAGAGTGACCTGGGTGAGCGTGGCCCTGATGTGCCCTGTTGTACCCCTTGGCGTTGGGGTACGTGTCCTGTCAGAGACACAGAGTGACCTGGGTGAGCGTGGCCCTGATGTGCCCTGTTGTACCCCTTGGCGTTGGGGTATGTGCCCTGTCAGAGACACAGAGTGACCTGGGTGAGCGTGGCCCTGGTGTGCCCTGCTGTACCCCTGGCGTTGGGGTATGTGCCCTGTCAGAGACACAGAGTGACCTGGGTGAGCATGGCCCTGGTGTGCCCTGCTGTACCCCTGGCGTTGGGGTATGTGCCCTGTCAGAGACACAGAGTGACCTGGGTGAGCATGGCCCTGGTGTGCCCTGTTGTACCCCTTGGCGTTGGGGTATGTGCCCTGTCAGAGACACAGAGTGACCTGGGTGAGCATGGCCCTGGTGTGCCCTGCTGTACCCCTGGCGTTGGGGTACGTGTCCTGTCAGAGACACAGAGTGACCTGGGTGAGCATGGCCCTGGTGTGCCCTGCTGTACCCCTTGGCGTTGGGGTATGTGCCCTGTCAGAGACACAGAGTGACCTGGGTGAGCATGGCCCTGGTGTGCCCTGTTGTACCCCTTGGCGTTGGGGTACGTGTCCTGTCAGAGACACAGAGTGACCTGGGTGAACGTGGCGTTGGTGTGTGGTGCTTTCTAGCAGCGTGTGAGCCAGGGAAGCCCAGAGAAGCCTTCACTTGTGCCATGTAGCGCAGCTCGTCCTTCCGGAAAACATAGGCAGACTCCCCTGAGCCTGATAATGAAAGGAGAGAAGGCAGAAAGACCAACCCCAACGCTGGGCAGACCTGAGTGTGTGTGACGGACGGCAAGAGGCTGGGACAAGGAGGAAAGAAAGAGGGCTCAGGCCTCCGGCGGGCACAGCTGCTGTGCGTGACACTGCCAGCTGTTTATTTTCTTCTCTTTGTTTTATTTGTAGTTTTGAAATTCGATAGAATTAAAACATAATTTGCTTTTATAATTATGAACAAAAATGCAAGTGTTACTTTGGAAGGAGAAAATAGCTGTAGGTAGAGCCATGTGGACTCTAGGGCTAGAGGTGGACAATGGAACTTAGTATGTTGCACGCAGCAAGACAACAGGAAAGGCAGATGGCAGAGGTGTAGCCCCGAAAGCACACACACATCAGCAGCCGCACAACCCAGAAGAACCAGAACATGAAGGCTCAGCAGTGGGGACCGTGGAGGCTGGGTAAAGGCGAGGCTCACCACCGGGGTCCCCACCCTCAAAGAGGAGTCTGGACCGCAGGGCACCAGCACACACCAGAGTGGCACCACGGAGCCACCGTGTCCTCCTGACCAACGCCTGTGGCCAAGGGTCTGACCGGCCCCAGATGAGTCCTGGAGGTGCTCCTGTCCCAGGCACCCCATGGCCTTCCCGGTGGTGCAGAGGCTGGCAGTGCTCTTGGGAAGGGTTGCATCTGCCTTGCTCCTCATCTCAATTGTCAGGCAAGAGCAGGTCCCCCACTGTGTTGAGGACACCTGAAGCCCTTCCCGCCCAGCCCTGTGCTGCCCCTGGGTTTCCATCTGACACCAAATTCTGGGTGTGGGTGGAGGCTGGGTTGAATTAGAAGGGACGGCAGGGTGACAGGATGGTGAGGACAGCTGGATCATGGAGAATATCCACGGCTCCTTGGAGAAGTGGCCAGTTCTGAGACTGGGACAGGGAACATGCAGGCTGAGCCAGCAGCAACTTACGGTACCTGCAAATGAGGAGGGGCCTACACTAAAGCCCTATGAGCACAGACACTGAGGGTATGTGAGAGGGACGGGCCAGCTGAAGGGGCTGCAAATGAGGAGGGGCCTACACTAAAGCCCTATGAGCACAGACACTGAGGGTATGTGAGAGGGACGGGCCAGCTGAAGGGGCTGCCAAATGCCAAAGCTGGGACAGTTTAAACAACAAACTGATAGTAATAGCATTGGATTACAATCCAAAACAAAGTGTGTGAGTCCACAGTGACACAGAAAATGATTATTAATAAACAGAAGAAGCCGGGTGCAGTGCCGCACGCCTGTAGTCCCAACACTTCGGGAGGCCTGAGATCAGGAGTTTGAGACCAGCCGGGTCAACGTGGTGAAACTCCATCTCTACCAAAATACAAAAATTACCTGGGCGTGGTGGCGTGTGCCTGTAGTCCAGCTACTTGGGAGGCTGAGGCAGGAGAATCACTTGAACCAGGGAGTCGGAGGTTGCGGCGAGCTGAGATTGCACCACTGCACTCCAGCCTGGGTGACAGACCGAGACTCTGTCTCAAAAAAAAAAAAGTATATAAAAACTAGGCAGGCATGGTGGCCAAATTCTGGGTGTAGGTGCAGGTTGGGTTGAATTAGAAGGGATGGCAGGATAACAGGATGGTGCTTTGTAGTCCCAGCTACTCGGGAGGCTGAGGCAGGAGAATCGCTTCAGCCCAGGAGGCTGAGGTTAGGGTGAGGCGAGGTCCCACCACTGCACTCCAGCCTGGGTGAAAAAAAATAATAGTTAAAAAGAAAAACACGGATTATGGAAAAGCTCTGCCCTGGAGCACTTGGGCAGGCGTGTAAGGACTGCCCCTGCTCATCTGGGGGCATCTGTGGGCCATAGGGCAGTCCCAGTAGGGTTTTCCTGAGACATGGGGCACCCTGGCCCAGCAGAGGCACAAGTCCTGGAGTGAGTTTCAGCTTCATTGTTGTATCCCAGGCTGCAGCAGCTGGACGAGGAGAACAGTGAGCTCCGATCCTGCACACCCTGTCTGAAGGCCAACATTGAGCGCCTGGAGGAGGTGAGTGCCTCGAGCTGTGACCAGCAGGGCCAGGCTGTGCCCTTCCCGTGGGCACCGAGGTTGCCCTGGGCTCTGTCCTGAGCAAGGTGACAACCCCTGGGCTGCGCTGTGCTGTGTGTGAGGGAACAGGGCCATCTCAGGACCCAGGCTGCTGGAAGACACTGGGCTATGCTCTGTCTGCAGCTCCCCCAGGGACTCAAGATCCACAGGGCCCAGAGGTTCACTCCTAGATGGACCAAGGGGTCTGAATCTGGGAAATGTCCTCCAAGGGGAAGATGTCAGCAAACCACTCGTGCCTGCCCCTGCAGATGTGGAGGCAGAGGCTGCACATGGGGCTCCCACAGCCCAGCTGGTCACTGCGAGGCCTCCCTCCCCCAGCTCACCAGGTGTCCTCTGGGAAGCCCCAAAACCAGAGGGCATTCTCAGAACACTTGGGCCCAACTGGAGCTCCCCACAGTCACTGAGTCAGGTTCTGTCCACACAAAGGTCCTTCCTGTCCCTCATGAAAAATAGTCCTTGTGGCCTGTGTGTGCGCCTCCCCCCAGAGGCAGGGTGCGTTGATCTCCACTGAGAGGCAGGAAAGCTGAGACCCAACCCCGTCATGCTCCAAGCATGGGGGCCACCATGTTGCTGTTGGGAGATGGAGAGATGGGAGGGACAGAAGGCCAGGGCAAGGTGCATGTGCACGTGGACGGGCAACCCTCATCCAGGACAGGTGTCCACCCCTGCAGGAGAAGCAGAAGCTGTTGGATGAGATAGAGTCGCTGACGCTTCGGCTCAACGAAGAGCAGGAGAACAAGAGGAGGATGGGGGACAGGCTGAGTCACGAGAGGCACCAGTTCCAGAGGGACAAGGAGGCCACCCAGGAGGTGAGCTAGTGTCCCAGCCCCATGCCCAGCACTGGGCATCCCCCCAACCCATGGGGAGCCTTGTTGGACGCCAGCTCTTGGCTGTGCCGCTCTGGGCATAGCTGCTGGTGTGTGTGGTCTTCCGAGAGGCGGTGGCCAGATCAACCCCAAGGTTCTACAGCCAAGTGATGGCTGACGGTGGCCGATGGAAGCCTAGGCCCCCCGGCTCACCCCGCCTTTGCCTGCAGCTGATCGAGGACCTCCGCAAGCAGCTGGAGCACCTGCAGCTCCTCAAGCTGGAGGCCGAGCAGCGGCGGGGCCGTAGCAGCAGCATGGGCCTGCAGGAGTACCACAGCCGCGCCCGGGAGAGTGAGCTGGAGCAGGAGGTCCGCAGGCTGAAGCAGGTAGGCAGGCCCGGGCCTCCGTCCCTCGCAGTCCTGCAGAAGCTTCCAGAAGGCTGGTTGGGAAGGGGTGGGACGTGGAGGGCCAGCATCTGAGCTGGAGGCCATGTTCCCTGGCCAGTCCTTGTCCCTGCTCAGCCACCAGCAGGGGCCACAGCCCCATAGTGATGTTGCTGTGCCCTCCCAGGACAACCGCAACCTGAAAGAGCAAAACGAGGAGCTGAACGGGCAGATCATTACACTCAGCATCCAGGGCGCCAAGAGCCTCTTCTCCACAGCCTTCTCTGAGTCCCTGGCTGCAGAGATCAGCTCCGTCTCCCGAGATGAGGTAACACATCCCCCGCCTGCACCCTGCGGCCTGGGGTCTGTGGTCTGTGCGCTGTCTGTGGTTACACATGGTGGCCTGTGGCCTGCTCGCCCTGCAGCTCATGGAGGCAATTCAGAAGCAGGAGGAGATCAACTTCCGCCTGCAGGACTACATTGACAGGATCATCGTGGCCATCATGGAGACCAACCCGTCCATCCTGGAGGTCAAGTAGAGGCAGGAAGGCCCGCCTGGGCTGGATTCCGGACTCCAACACCCGGGAGTGGCCCCGTCACACCATGAGGAGCCAGGACCAACAGGTCCCACGGCCGACAGAGCTCAGAGCGTGCAGGGAGCCCTCGTGCAGCTGGGCTGGGGCCACTAAAGACAGGCTGCTGAAGGGGCAGAGGGTGGTAGAGAGGAGAGAGAGAAAGGGAAGTCCCTGGGCCCCGGGCCCACAGAGGGTGAGGGGTGTGGCAGGGCCACCCATCAGTCAGTGCTGACCTTCTCCGTCCTAGATCAGCCTGGCCGTGAACGCCTACACCTTGGTTCAGCGGGATGGGCTGGAGAGCCTCTCTGTGCAGAGGTGTGGGGTGAGCCCTGCCATGGCCTCCTTGTGGTGGGCTCTCTTCCCACATGCAGCCTTATCAGGAAGAAAGGAAGAAAACAGGTCCCTCCAGGGGTGCTGCTGCCTACACCACCCACACAAGTACCGTGGTGCCGTGTCGCCCATGCTGGGCTGCTTCTGATGGCCAGTGGGCTCCCGGACCCTCACCTCAGACATGGGGATGCAGGAAGGACGGGCGGGCAAGGCTGGTGCATCCCCCAGCTCTCCCTGCCCTGCTCAGGCCATTGCCCAGCCAGACATGGTCAGCTCAGTCCAGCTCCGGGCCCTGGGGCCTCCAGGCCATGCGGCCAATCCCTTGGCCCAGTCCTCACTGCAGTAGCCCCTGGGGGCTCCAACCGCCTGTGGGGGCCGGGCAGGAGCCACTGGGGCCCTCCACTCTGACGTCGGGACCCGAGAGTCCGGCTGCGTAGAGCTCTCTCCCTGGGCAGGGTGGATGCTGCAGGCCCCTCTGGCTCCCCCGTGCAGGTGCTGCTTCTCCACAGGTGCTGGCCTGACCTGACCTAAAGGCCACACCCTCTCCACGCACTTCCCAGGCCAGAGTCCAAACATCAGGAACCCTGTCTCCTGGGTGTCTAACTTAGAAATCATTGTTCTTCCCGAGGGTGCATTTTGCAGGAGAGAGACGGCAGGGAAGGCTCACAGCAGAGCAGGAGTGGGCCTACCGGGGCCGGCACTCCCAGGCGCAGTGGCGTCATCCTGCAAGGCTGTGGGCCTGCCCCTGAGGCCCCAGCATTCCCTGGTGGGCCAAGACCCCATCACCAAGACTGGCCGCCAGCTGTGTGTGTGCGTGTGCTCATGTGCACGTGGTGCACACGTGTGTGGCCCCGCATCCACCGCCTTCCACACTAGGATGTCAGAGGTCGCCTCCTATTGTACATTTGGGGAAAGCCTTGGGTGTAAATCAGTGTAAACTTGGAAGAGATTTTTCTATCATGTAGAGTAGGTATTTTTTATAGATTGAAGGTTGATCAATTTTTTAATACTTTCAAGAGAGAAAACTATCTGTGTATACACATGAAATATATATATATATATATATGTATAATATATAAATACTGGCACCCTGCCTCTCTGTGCCCGGGTCCGGCCCTGGTGACATGGCTTGTGTCCTGTTTCTGCTGGCCACTCAGCAGTGCTGTAACTGTAAACATGGACTCCCAGGAGACTGTGGGAAACACGCCGAGCACCAACTGCACATGCTCCTGCTTTAATTCCCCTGCCTGGATGCAGGAGGGCAGGGGCCACCACAGATTAAAGCTGTTACTGCACACACACAGGCCGGCTCCTTCCTCCAGGGGGCCCACAGGGCGGGGTGGAGTCTCCTGGGCCGGGCTGAGCTTCCCTCAAGGCATCCCAGGCCATCAGTTGTCTGAGCTCAGACTGCAGGAGACCTCCCTGGCTCTGCAGCTTGGTCAAACCAAGACTCTTCCGAGGCCCCAGGACTGCCCCTCAGCAGAGCCTGGCAGCTTTCTGGGCAGGTTCTGGACCCTAATGAGCTACTGAGACAGCATCGAGGATAGTCCAGGCAAAGGGGGCAGCACAGGGCTGTGGGCATCATGGCTCTGGGTCACAGCGTCCCTGCCCCTGGGGACACACGTTGTATGTCGGGAGAGGTGGCAGCATGTCCCTGGGATGAAGAGAAGTTGGGGGGGTAGGGCACAGAGGCTCACGCCATAATCTCAGCACTTTGGGAGGCCAAGGCAGGAGGACTGCTTGAACCCAGGAGTTTTAAGACTAGCCTGGGCAACATAACAAGGCCCCATCTCTTAAAAAATTTTTTTAAATTAGCCAGGCAAGGTAGTGCCCACCTGTACTCCCAGTTCCGAGGGAGGCTGAGGTGGGAGAACTGCTTGAGCCCAGGAGGTGGAGGTTGCAGTGAGCTGTGATTGCACCACTGCACTCCAACCTGGGCAACAGGGCAAGATACCCTGTTTCAGAAAAAAACATTTAAAAGGATAGTGATGTGCAGGGTGGTGGGAGAACTCACCCAGAGTGGGCTCCCGAGGTCATGGGGGCAGCCAGACAGGCGGCTTGGGAGAACTTAGTGCTACTGTAGCCACAAAGAATGGCCTGGGGAAGTGGCCCCATCTGATCCGGAGTTCCCCCCCAAAGCGTAGGCCTTGAAACCTGGACCAGTTGGCCGGGCATCCAGGAAGTGGACTCTTCATCTGCTGCTCTCCCGCCCCAACCCAAGCTGCCCGCCTGCCCATCACACTCTCAGATACAGAAACCAAGGCCCAGGGGGGCTGAAGACCCAAGTCTGCCAGTCCCCTCAGGTCAGTTGCTGTCCACGGGCTAGTGACCGGAGGAGGACTGAGTGTGGCCTACAGCAAGGAGTCCTTGAGCCCTCCGTGCGGATGCAGCAGAATGGCTCCAGGTCACGGGGCCAAGGAGTCTTGGTTACTTAATGAGTTAGAACTGAGGACATGGGAGGTGCAAAGGCCAAGTTCCCGCTCCCAGGAAAAGGGCCTGCCCTCCCACCTGCCCAGGGGTCTCTGTGTGGTGCCAGCAGGGTCCATCTCTGCCTAAAGGGAGAAGCTGGAGGTGGGGGGAGGGACTCACTTCGTGCTGCAAGGCCACAGCCAGGCAGGGGAGGGGGGCAATGTCCTCCTGATACCCCACTGTGGTCAAGGAGCACCTCGGCCTCATTTCCACTAGATTTTAAACATGGGCCCTGTCCACAGTCCACCTGGCCCCACCAGCAAACGGTGCTGTCACCGTGCTAGCCCACCGGGGTCTCCAGTCCAAAGGATGAAGTGGAAACAGACTCCCGAAGGGCTGCCAGAGACGCTGTGGGTGACTGAGAGCAGGGTGTGGTGGCCCGTGTGCAGGTGTGCTTCCCGGTGGACGTGCGCAGAAACCTGCACTCCCCCGGGAGGCCTGAATGTGTCTGTCTGGAGTGTCGGCTCCCCACCCCAGCTGTGCAGCGTTTGGGCTGGCCACTGGGCTTGCCAAGTCTCCCAAGGCAGTCTGTCCTTGGCTGGCTCCTGACAGTGAATGCTGTGAGTCTTAGTTCTGCCCAACGGAAGAGCCCTAAGGAGTCTTGCCGGGCAGAATGGAGAGGAGTGGCTCTGTCCTTGCCTTGGAAGAAGACCCCCTGATGTGGGTGCATAGCCGCTCGTATGAGGCCTGCCCTAGCCTGCGTCTGCTGAAGGGCAGGTCTAGGAAGGCCTGACCCCCTCAGAGGCCCCCTGGCCCCCTACCTGCTGGCAGTCCAGTAACCTGGAGGGTCCAGAGAAGGACAAGAACTTCACCTGTTCTCGTTTTGAGACTGGGGCTCATTCTGTCACCCAGGTAAAGCGCTGTGTGCCATCCCAGCTCACTGCAGCCTCGACCTCCCAGGCTCAAGTGATGGTCCTGTCTCTGCCTCCCACGTAGCAGGGACCACAAGCGTGCACCACCGCACCTGCCTGATGATTTAAGTAGAGGCAGTCTCACTGTGTCCTTCTGACCCAGGCCTGTGTGGCTCACAAAGCAGGTGACTGTGGGATATCCCATCGAAACTGAGCACACAAGTCAGCTGCCTGTGGGCCTTGGCACCCCACACCCCATGCCAGGGTCCCTGTGTGCCCACATCTGGGCTCTGTGTTGGCACTGGGGTCTGCTGCTTGCTGCTGTGTTCACGTGAGGCTTTTTCTGGTGCCTGAACAGATGCCTCCAGCCTCGGTTCTTTCTGTCTGGGCCTCCCAATCTTCTTCTCCAGTGGGTATTTAGGGCTTGCCCCTTGGCTCTTCCGGGCACTTGCCTTAGCTTCTCAGGTCTGTCTGGATGTGGGGGTTGTGTCCTCACTCAGGCCAGTACCGCACTGGAACGGAGCAGGGTTCGGTCAGTGGTCTGGATAGTCCAGTCACTTACCTTCAGCTGTGCTGCCCTTCGCAATTCACGCCTGTGTGCCTGAGGTCTTGTGACTCAATCTTCAAGACAGTCACAGGCTGGCCTCAAGGGTGCATGGGAGACCATTTTCTCTCGTCGTACCCATTGCCTCCAGCATCCTTGTGCAGGGAAACCACAGTCATCTTGAAGACGTCTCTTGAGGCCCTCTTCTGGGTGAATGTGCTTCCTCCTACACCACGACAGGCCTCCTACTCGGCGGGGCTGGGGTACTCCCACCCTTTCCTCACCCCAAATGGGCCTTGCTTAGCCAAACCGGCCCGAATTGGCCACTCTGCAACGAGCGGGCAGGGGCCTCGGTGTCAGATCAACAGGCTCAACTGCAGCTGTTTCTCTGGCTGGGTGGGTTGTAAGACCATGAATCACCTGCTGGCTAGATGACAGGCCCCTGGCCAGACCGCCACCCTAGGCGGTGCCAGTGAGACTGGGAACGTAAGGGAAGCTGCAGTCACTGAGCCCTGACTCAGCCCTGGACTGGGTGCTCTCGTGGTTCTAAAGCCACACTTGGCCGGTAACCTGCCATGCAGGTGAGGAAGCTGGGGAGGACAGCGTCCCAGAGCCTCGTCCACGTTGCAGAGGAGAGCCAGCTCTCCCTCTGCAGTCCTCTGTGCCCCCAGACCCCCGCTGGCCCCTGCGGAGGCATTTCTTGCCCTTGGGATGCCTTGGCATGGATACGGGCTGGGAACACACGGCACATCTTGTGTTCACAGAGTGGGCAGCAGGCCTTGGAGGTGTCCAAGACACAGGAATGAAGTATCCTTACCAAAAGCTTCTCAGGACAGAGGTAAACCTCCTGCCAGCTTCTGCCCTGACTGCAGCTAGAAGCCGAGCTCCACGTGGGACACAGATGTCCCTACTGCAGCCCCTAGAGCCTGACGGAGGCCCCACCCTTGGCTTTCCTGGAGCGTGAATATCCTCTGAGGAGCGCCCGCCCTGGCCTCGTAGATCTTGCTGAGATTGGCGCAGTTTCCGGCCCGGAGCAATCGTCAGCCAACCTCCCACTTGTAAACCTCCCCACAGAATCGGACCACAGCCAGTCTGCCCGGAATCTCAGCTGACCAGCCCTGCCCCGTGTCTCCCTCTCCCGCAGGGCCCCTCATCTGCCCCTGAGAGCGGGAGTCTGGCCGCCCTCGGCACTCGCTTCCCACCCTGCAGCCTGATAAGCTGGACGCCCAGGCACTTTCCCGAGAGCCAGTCCAGCAGCTGCCGGAAGGAGAGTGGCCTCAGCGCAGCGGGAAGGGACCTCCGGGGAGAGACTCAGGCCTGAGCAAGGGGCCTGGAAGGACCCGGGAGTCGCCCCGTCTTCCCTCCTCCAGGTCCAGCCGGGCGTGGCCGTTTAATGGCGTCCTTCCGCGACCGAGGACGAAGGGACCTAGAGAGGCTGTGCCCAAGCGACGCTGCGAGGCCAGGCCGCGTCTCGGGCCAGAGCGGTCCCGTTGCCACCGCCGCTCTTGGCCGCCGGGACCGAGCACAGCGTTGCGAGGGGGCGGCCCTGGGAGGCCCGAAGGGGTTTCTGGGCCTCGCGGACACAGAGGGCCCAGGGCGGGGTCGTGGTCTTCGGTCCAGGGGCCTCCCCGAGCCCCGCGGGACACTGACGTCCCCGGCCCGGCCACCCCCGAGACCCCCGGGACCGAGTCGCGGTGGACGCGCCGACGCAGCGGTTGGAGGCCCCGCCCCTCCGTGCCCCTCGCAGGGCTTTCTGGGAGCTGTAGTCCCAGCCCCTCCTCCGGCTGCCCCACTGCCCGATAAGCCGGGAGCGCGGCGCCTTCCCGGGACCGAGGCCCGGGGCCTGGCCGTCTCCAGCAGCGCGAGCAGGAGGAATGGCTCGGGAGGTCGGCGGACAGGGAAGGCGCCACCAGAGGACTACAACTCCCGGCATGCTTCGCGCCGGCACCGCCCAGGGCTTCCGCCCCGGCAGCGCCGCGCGGCCCTGTGGGAGCCGTAGTCCGTGTGAGCGATTCACAGCGCCGCGTGCGCCCCGGGCGCGCCGTAGCCGCGGGGCCAAGGCCGGGCGCTACGCTACGGAGGTGGCGTAAGGCGAACGCCTGACGCGGGCAGTGGCCGGGGCCGGGTCGGGGCACTCCGCGGCTGAGGCGCGGGGAGGCCGTCCGGGCAGCGCGGCCGGCGGCGAGAGGGGCCCCGCCGCTCTCCGGAGGCAGAAGTTGTGGATCGGCCGGCGGGGGCGAGCGGGCCCGGGGGCCGGGGCCGCGCTGCCCGGGCCGGGAGGACGGAGGCGGCGCCACCGGGCTGTGGAGGTGAGTCCCGCCGGCCGAGCTGGGCCGGACGCGCGGGCGGGGAGTGCGGGCTCGGTGGGCGGCGGGGAGCGCGGGCCCGGCGGGGCGCTGGAGGCCTCGGGGTCTGAGCGCGCCGGGCTCCGGGCCAGGGCAGGGACGGCCGGGCCCTCGGATGGGGTCAGCTTGCCGCCCGCTCGCGCTTCCAGGCCGTTGGGGGCCAGGGCTGGGCTCGGGCGATGCTTCGGAGAGGAGCCCAGAGGAAGGCGGGAAGTCGGCAGGGACCTGGGCCATGTGGGTCACTCGAGGCCAGCTCCGGGGGCCGCGCACGCAGGAGGCGGCCCCGGCCCTGCCTGCCCTTGAGTGCCCTTATATCCGGGCCCAGAGCGCGGTGCTGGCCACCTTACGGATGGGGTGCTTGGTGCGGGCGTCGCTCCCCTGTCACTTGGGGAACGGCCTGGGGGCGGCCACCCGGCATGGAGGGGCCGGCAGGAGCCTTGTCTGTGCCAGCCATGCCAGTGTTCTCTTCCCTGTTCCTCCGGGGCTGCTGCGGCACCAAATGGGAAGTTGCAGACTCCGCTCTCTGACCAGCGCGCCCTTCCTGCTGGCTGCAGAAGAGGCCCTTCTAGAGCTGGCCGGGGGATCTCGTGTGGTCAGGTTGCCTGGCCCGGTGAGCTCTCGGGGTCCCCTTACTGCCCTGGAGTTTGTTACCAGACTGCTGGTAACAGGACCCAGAAAGCAGGGGTGACGCCCAGAACCTGAGGCCATGCCTGAGTGTGTGCGGAAGACTGGGGCTCAGTTGGGTGCTGAAGAGTTGTCTGCTTCTCCTTTGGGAAACCCGAATCTCCTCCTCTGCCCGGGTCTGAGGTGCGGGAGCTTGAGTCAGGGTTCAGCGTGGGAGTGCGGTGCCCCGTGATTGCCTCCTCCCAGAGTCTGGGGCTGGGCAAGGATGTAGGGGTGATTCTGCCTCCGGGTTCTGAGTGACTTCTCAACTGTGAGGCAGGGCAGGAGAGACTGTTTTTCTGGTCTGGCAGGGGGAGGCAGGTCCTGCAGGAAACAGCTTGGCCCGGCCTTGGGTTCGGTGTGTCGCGCCTCCTCTGAGGTCCTTTTGCCGTTGGGAGGAGCACCCCCCTTTTTCCCGCTTCTGTCTCTGTGTCTGAGGCCCTCCAGAGTGGCTTGATTGGCACGAGGAGCAGTGACCTCTGAGTCCCCAGGAGAGCCTAAGGCTCAGTGACCGTGCAGCTTGCACAGGGCCTCCTGTCTGAGCCTCCACAGACTGGTCTCTGAGAGCGGGAGGTGGCTGTTCCCCTCTAACGCTGCGTCTGTGTAAGAGCCTCGGCCCTGCTGGACCTCTCTCTGGGCACCCCACACTTTATCCTTGCCCAGGCCTTTGGCAGCACTCCGGCCACCCCATTGCCACCGGCGCTGGAGGATGGCTGTGATGGCAGGAGAGGGGCCGAGGGAGGCTGAGCCCAGGGCTCTATCCTGCCCGTTAAACCACCTCATATGAGGCGATTAGAGAGAGGGAAGAATTCTGCTGCCCAAAAAACCCTCCAGAACCTCGGGAGTTGTTCATGGGCCTGAGCCATCGCTGAAGACCCCGAGGGAGTCTGCCACCCACGTGGCCGTTGGTGGCCGAGCAGCCCCTGGTCCAGCCCTCTGGCCCAAGCTGTGACGCCTCTCCTCACTGCACCGGGTGTGGGCAGGTGCTGAGAACAACGTCATTAGACCACACGGTGTGGGGTCTTTTAGGAGCAGTGACAGAAGCCCAGGAGGGCGGCTGAGATTTCATGAGACACAGGATGGGCTTGGGTGGTTTCTTCATCAGACGCGGAAGAAGGAGACCCCGTGCCTGTGGGCTGCCGCGGGCGCTCTGCTCTCCTGTTCTCCCACTCTGCCCCTCTGCTCCCACCCTAGACCTCATTGTCTGACCCCCGCACAGCCGGAGTGCCCAGAAGCCCAGTGGGACTTGTTCTCCCTAAAGCTCTTCCACATCCCTCCTAACGTCTCGGTGTGAACGTGTGCTTCCTTACCACCTGCCTGTGCCTCAGCTGCTGGAGCCACTGGACCCTCATGCCCCGTGCTGGCGAGAACGCTCAAGTCTGTGCATAGCTGTGATGTTGCCCCTCCGGTGGTCCCTGGCTCCCCTCCGTGGGATCTGCCTGCAGCAGTTACACTTGGCACCGTCCTGTGTCCCTGCTCAATGTGGCGCTGGGAGGGCAGGGGCCGTTTCTGTTTCTTGGCAGGCCCAGTGCCCAGCACCATCTAGCCGTCTGCGGAGCAGGCGGTCAGTGAGCACCACGGTCAGCCCTCACCACAGGCAGTTCTGGAGTTTTGAGTTCTGGTGGCCAAGGGGGACTCCTGGGTGCTCCAGAAAGGCAGCACACCAGCCCCTGTGGCGTGGAAGTGGCCACACCTGACTTCGGCTCGTTTCTGAGTCTGAGAGAACAGACTTGCCGGCCTGTGACCCCTGCGTGCCTGTCTCCCTGCCGGGAGGCTGTGGGTGGAGGCTGGGCCCAGAGACCTGTTCAGACACACCCTGTTACGTGTGGGCCCCATACAGCTGGGTGCAGATCTCACAGTGCGTGGCCCAGGCGGGAGTCTGTGGATGGCTGCATTGCGCCATAGGACGGGACGGGCTGCTGCTGGCCCCCAGGGTGCAGGGAGTGGGGGCTACGGGAGGACAGGGGCATCCTAGCCCAGCGCAGGGGCCCCTTGATGAGCTGCATCAGGCAGTTAATTCGCACACCATCTTCGGGGCCTGCCTGAGTGCTGTACAGGAGGCCAGCAGGGTGGCCACACTCCCCAGGACTTGCCTAGGACACCAGGGTGGACTCCTTGAGTCCCTCCCCTCCTGGCCTCCAGACACCATCATTTCTCAGTTCCCCGAGGTCAAAGGGAGGCTGCCAGGGTTGCCGTCCCCGCCTCCCTGGAGGGCCTCGTCAGGAGTCAGGAGGAAGCAGGCCGATCCTGCTTTCTGAAATAATCTCGGCAGCTGTGCCCAGTTGCAGGCGGTGATTGCTGCTTCAGGCTGCTCTGTGGAAGGAGCTCCCTCCGCTACAGAGAGAACTCCTCCCCATGCCCCCCCCTCACTTTTCTTGAAAAAGTTGCCCTTTATTTTTAAGATGTCTTAAATTCTACGTTTTTGAGTCAGACTCTGTCGCCCAGGCTAGAGTGCTGTTGCGATCATAACTCGCTGTAGCCTCAAACTTCTGGGCTCAAGTGATCCCCCTGCCTCAGGCTCCCAAAGCACTGAGACCGCAGGCGGGTGCCACCACACCCAGCCTCTGCCCTTTGGAAGTAGAATCCCCCAGGCAGGCTTCTGCCCTCTGCCTGATCCCCACTCCCTACCCCCTACCTCCCAGCCTTCTGTAATGGGAAAGGCAGGAAGCTTTGGAGCTCTCTGGATCCCCTGCCCTTCCTGAAAAGGTGGTCGCAGAGAGGCTGGAGCTGGTAGGGGAAGAGGCGCCAAGAGGCCTCCTCTGGGCCCAGGACCACACAGCTGCCAAGGCCCCAGTCTCCCTCTCTGAGAGGTGCCCCCTGCGTCCCTGTGGCTTCTGCTTGGCCACTGGCAAGGTCACCAGGCTGCCTAGATCAGAGCTTGCACTTGGCAAGCACAGAAACAGAGAAGTGTCAAAACACATGTGCTTGTCTGATCCTTTTTTTCCTGTTAAAAATGGAATCTGGGGTTGGGCACAGTGGCTCCTGCCTGTAATCCTAGCTCTTTCGGAGGCCAAGGCAGGTGGATCACCTGAGGTCAGGAGTTCCAGATCAGCCTGACCCATATGGCAAAACCCCATCTCAGTTAAAACTTAGCCGGGTGTGGTGGTGCGTGCCTGTAATCCCAGCTACTCAGGAGTCTGAGACAGGAGAATTGCTTGAACCTGGGAGGCAGAGGTGGCAATGAGCAGAGATTGCACTGCAGCCTAGAGGAAGACTCTGTCTCAAAAAAAAAAAAAAAAGGTAGAATTCGGCTGAGCACGGTGGCTCATGTTGGGAGGCCGAAGCAGGTGTGTCACCTGAGGTCAGGAGTTCGAGACCAGCTTGGCCAACATGGCAAAACCCCATCTCTCCTAAAAATACAAAAATTAGCCGGGCATGGTGGTGCATGCCTGTAGTCCCAGCTACTCAGGAGGCTGAGACAAGAGAATTGCCTGAACCTGAGGGGCGGAGGTTGCAGTGAGCCGAGATTACGCCATTGCACTCCAGCCTGGGCGAAAGAGCGAGACTCTGTCTCCAAAAAACAAAAAAGAATTCAGCGTTAACACTGAACTTGTGAAACTCAAAGTCAAAATCTTGAGTGTTCCCATGTCCCTGACAATATCGTTTTGAAAAATGTGCAAGGCCTCACTGAGGGGGTGTGCCACCCTAGAGACACAGAGGGGCGCAGGAGTGACCCCATTACCCCATGTGTCCTTCTGGACACCCTGCTCAGCTCAGCCCAAGCCCCTCACCATCGCTGCAAAGATGCCTCTGCTCTCCCCTCACCCTCAAAGGCCAGGCGGCTTTAAGGCAGAGAGGATCCAGCCCATCAGAGGGTGCAGGCGTTCACAGTGAGCAGCATCAGAGGTGTCTCAGAGCAGCTCTGAACGGGCCAAGGAAGTGAAGCCCTGTCCGGAGAGCCAGGTGGGACAGCACAGCCTGAATGGCTGGAGCCCCAGTGGTGCGTGGGCCCCCAGTCCTCTGACTTCCACCCAGAGCTGGTGGCTGGTGCCTCTGCAGACTGCAAGGTTCTTGGCAGACGCAGAGATCTCGAGCCCCAGAAGAGCCTCCTGCTGGCAGTGAGGGTTAGTCCCAAGGCCTTTGTTCTGTGCCTGAGTCTCGGCTGAGCTCTGTGGACCACTCTTCCGAGGTGAGGCCTGGGCCTCCCTCTCTGTGCCACAAGCACATGTCACCACACCATCCTCGGTGCTGATCACCGAAGAGGGTGATGGGCCGGGGGAGTGTCCCATGCCTGTCATCCCAGCACTCTGGGAGGCCAAGGCAGGTGGATCATTTGAGGTCAGGAGTTCGAGACCAGCCTGGCCAATGTGGTGAAAACCCATCTACGAAAAATACAAAAATTAGCCGGGCGTGGTGGCACATGCCTGTAGTCCCAACTACTTGGGAGGTTGACAATCGCTAGAACCCAGGAGGCGGAGGTTGCAGTGAGCCGAGATCTCGCCACTGCACTCCAGCTTGGGAGACAATGAGAGTCTCTCTCAAAAAAATTAAAAAATTAAAAAAAAAAAAAAGAAGGTGATGACTGAGTGGGAAGGCCACAGTGGGCCCCACACGGCCCAGGAAGGACGGGGCAGGGAGAATGAGCGTCCTACCCACCGCCATGGCACCGCTGTGGGAAGCATGTGCCAAGAGAAGCAAAGCCACCTGGCTTGAGGCAGCAGCTTCCCTGGTGGCAGTTAGAGTGGCCGGGTGGTGCTTGGGCCTGGGTCCAGGGGAGTCGAGGTGGCTGCCTGGCCATGTGCCTGAGCTCTGCCCAAGCTGGGCACCTTTCCCTGGCTGTGCGCAGGAAGCCTGGCTGCCTCCCTGGCTGGTGCTGCTCTGTGGCCCTGCCCGTGGACTCTTGCCCATGGCCTGTTCCTTGCAGCAGAGCCAGGCTGTGGGAGATCCAGACAGGATCCCAAATGGCCCTGTCCACGGTGCTGGCTGACCGGGGCTTGACTGCACTAGACGGGGGCCTTAAACCAGGGTAGTGAGGAACCGGCTGAGCCCATGCTGCTCCCCAGGCTGCCTTTGGCTCTCAGAGAGACACAGCTTCTAAGGCAAAGGGTCTCCTGGGACTGGTTTCCGGGGACTCTGGCTCCTGCAGAGAGGCCCGGAGGCGGGGCTTGGTGTTCAGGGTCAGAGTCCTCCCGGAGGAAGCCGGATGCCTGGTTAGATGCCTCCCTTCCTCCCTTCCTAGGCAGCAGCCAGACAGGGCACAGGGGCTTGGGCGCTAGCCGCAGCTTCAGGTGAGTTTGTTCCCAAGCACTGCGGCTCACCTGTGGGTTTGCATGGGTTGCAGGCGTTCGTGGAGCAGCAGGGTTGGAGTGCCGTGGCTGGCGGCACCTCCTCAGAGCCGTTGGTTCACAGAACCCCTGCCCGCCCTGAAGAGCCTGGTTTTCCCAGCCATTTGGGCTGTGGTCCTGTTGTGGGGGGTGACCGTGAGGGTGGTCTGGGATCCTGAGGGGGTGCTTGTCCTTTTGGTGGCCTCCCCTGTGCTGTGGCCCTGGCCCCTAAACAGAACCTCCCACACCCCACGGTATTGCTGGGGCAGTGCTGGAGCAGGGCTGGTGAGGAACATGTGCACGGCCCCCGCTGCTTTCCTCAGCCAGGAGGGGGTCTGGCTGGGCACTGGCCGGTACCGGCACGTAGGGTGCCTGGTTCCTGGGGAGCAGCCTCCATCTGTGTCTGGAGAGTGCCGTCCTGCCATTTCTCGTTGGAGGTGAACGGTCGTAGTTCACGTCCTCGCCCAGGCGGGGCCCTGGCCTGGTTTCTTGTAGGGGTGATGGGTAGCCCTGTCCCCAGCCCTCCTGCTTGTCTCATGCAGGAACTTCACGTCCTCAGGGCCATCTCCTCCACAGGTGCCCCTAGCTCAGTGGGGATGAACGCAGAGGTGCCTGTCTTCAGGTTGTGGGGACCCACTGAGCTTCGTCCCGATAGTGGCTGGCTCCTGCTTTCTGTCTGGACCAGCGGCCTCTGGTCTGGTGGGTGCATTCCTAGGGCACAGTGGGGTTGCCATGGGGCCAGGACACAGGGACCTCCATTCTCCGTCTGCCACCCCCCACTCCCTTGACTTGAGCAGGGGTTACATCGAGGCATCCTTGTTGGGGTTGCTGCGCTTCCCATGGTGGCGAGATGGCTCTGAAAGATTGATGGAGATTTAGGCCCTTGGGAGCAGGTGCCGTGTGAGTGGGACACGCCTGTGTCACCTGTAGGGCAGGGGAGGCGGGGAGGCCCAGGGAATACAGCCGTGTGCGCCGTTAGTTAGCAAGGATATGGGGAGTGTGTGTGGAGTGGGCACAGCTGTGGGTCCCACATTGGGGAGTGTGTGTGGAGTGGACACAGCTGTGGGTTCCACATGTGCCAGCCTTGCTCCCATGTGGGCTACCAGCTCCCCAGATGGGGACGCTGACTCGGGAGGTGCCTTTGCCTGCATTCACCAGAGCCTCAGGAGCACGCATCCCATCCCTACGAGTCAACCCTGCTGAGCCCAGCACTTACTCAGAGGCACCCAAAGACCCTGTTCTGCCCCGGGTGGTCTGTCAAGGCACCAGAGACCCCCGGAAGACCTCAGCGGCTGCAGATGGAGCAGGGCGGTGACGGTCATCTCCAGGCCCCACCCCTGTGCTAAGTCCTGGGGCCTTCTCGTTATCATCCCCTGGCTGGACACTCCCTGAGGCCCTCACAGGGTGCATGGGCGGCACGCCTCATGCAGGACAGGGTCCAGCCAGTCGGCCCTGCTCATTAGTTGCTTGTCCCCACAGGACAGTGGCGGCCCCACTCCCCACTTCCCTGAGGCTGGATCTAGGCCACCGCCCCATTTAAAACTAGGTCAGCGGTTCCCAGCGAGGGCAGGGAGCTGCATGGTTGGACTTGTAGGGGGAAGGCACAGGTCCACACAGTCCTGGGCCCTCCTCACCCTGCCCCTCCAGGGAGCCCAGAGGTGGGCATGGCTGCAGCCTGGCTCTGTCACAGCCACTCTGGAGGCGCTGCCCTGAGAGAGCCCCTGCAGGCAGGGCTCCTGCTGATTCCCACCGCAGAGGCCGGAACATGTGGACAGATAAGCCAGCAGGGGCACGTGCGGCCCACAGGAGTGGCACAGATGCTCGGCCACCAGCAGGCCCTGCAGGAGCAGCAGTGGCACAGGGTTCGGCATGCCCTGTGGGGGCCCTCTCCCTGCCTGTCCCTGGGGGACCTGCCTGGCACACTACTTGGTGAAAGTGGCCCCCCCCTCCCCGGTTATTAGGACAGGGAGCCAGATGGGAACCACGGATTGATCTGACCTGCACTGGGCAGCATGTGGTAGTTCACGTGTGCCCAGGCCCTGGGAGTGGTGAGCGAACTTCCTCCTGCAGCAGGCCCTGTCCCCGGTGTCCTCAGGCGAGTGGCCCTGGTGTGATGACGCCCCTCTCAAGGTCTGGCCAGAGTTAGCACCCATGGCCTAGATTTTCCAGCACTCTCTAGGGGACCTCCAGAGATGGCATCGCTGAACCTGAGAGGCACCTGTCTCTGTCACCCTGCCTGGGAGCTGTCCCTGGTTGGTTCTGCCTTCCTTCCTTCTCACCACTCCTTGCCCCTCTTTCCTGGGGTCCCCTCCCTTCAGTCTTTGGTAAATGCAGTTCCCACACTCTAGGGGAATGCAGGCTGGGAGCCTTTTTCATAGCTGCTCACCTGGTACTAGCATCTGTCCAGCTGTGAGTGGACAGGGACAGAGGGGGACAGAGGAACCACAGCTGCACTTGGCAGCTGGCGGGTGGGCTTTGGAAGGAGCATCGGTGCCAGCTTCCCGCAGCCACCCCTGTGATGGGCTCCTCAGGTCTGCACGTGGCTGGCAGCCGTGTCCCAGGAGCCCCAGCTGCGTGGAGGAGGCCTCGCTCCTTAGTGGGTCTCTCCAGCCAGGGCACCCTGCCATCTGCACGGGGCTCTGGACTCCTCTGGCAGTGAATCAGGGGTGGTTCATTGATGCCATCTCTGGAGATCCCCTGGAGTGCGCCAGAAAACCCTGGAGAGTCCTTTCCAGAACTGGCCATCCAGGCTCCGTGGCAGGCGCGTTTGCTCTTTTGGGCAGGCTCCTGTCTTGCGAGCACCCACGAGAGGGGACTGTGCTGTCCCTGCCTTCCTAGGACAGGCCTCCCTCTTGCCCAGACGGGGCCCACAGGGTCAGTTGCTTGAGACTGGCTCTGGCTCCAGGAGAGTTTTCTGAGCAAGCACAGGAGAGTGGGAGGCCGAGAGCAGCTCACTTCCTGCCCGGATGCAGCTGGGCACCGTTTCTGCCATCAGCCTGCTGAAGGCATCAGTGATGAGCAGGCGGGGCCTTGTGGGAGGCTGTGTTTCTGGCAGTGCGCGTGACCCCAGGTGCCACGAGGAGTGTCGAAGGAGCTGAGGCTGGCCCCTGCGGGTGTGCAGTCCTCACAGAGAACAGGGGCAGTGCTCCTGTCAGAGCCAAACTAGCTCAGGGCATGGTGCAAGCAGTGTCTGCCCCATGGGCACCTCCACTAGTCCAGGCTCCCACCCAAGCCCTGCCCTACCCTGCTCAGGATTTGGCTGCAGAATGGGAGTGTCGGAAATGTCCAGCCGTCCCCTGTGAGCAACTCCTACGTGGCACGAGCTGTGGGGGTCAGGAGCTGTTTGGGTTGCTCCGGCATCTGGCATAGCCCCGCAAGAGGCCTGGGCTGATGTGGGCTCCCTGCTAGCGAGCCTGCTCCATGTGTGCTGGGCTCCTGGCCTTGCTTCCATGTGGCATTTGAGACCCCGTGGCCCTTGCCCATGTCCTGCACATTGGAGGCTGCCAGCACTTGTGGCTGCAGGGCCTGTAGTGTGGCGCATCCATGTGAGATGAGCTGCCGGGCACAGTGGCGTCCAGGGACCCGGATGGAGAACGGGTCCCAAATGTCTGCACTGTGTTTTACGTTCGTTTCACACGGATGTGGCGTGTCTCAGAGACTGCAGAGCATGCCGGGCACATCGCCAAGGCTTGCTTTACCTGTTCCTTTACCCTGTCTCCCTTCTTTTTTTTTTGAGATGGAGTTTCGCTCTTGTTACCCAGGCTGGAGTGCAATGGCGCGATCTCGGCTCCCCGCAACCTCCGCCTCCTGGGTTCAGGCAATTCTCCCGCCTCAGCCTCCTGAGTAGCTGGGATTACAGGCACGCACCACCACGTCCAGCTAATGTTTTGTATTTTTAGTAGAGACGGGGTTTCACCATGTTGACCGGGATGGTCTCGATCTCTTGACCTCATGATCCACCCGCCTCAGCCTCCCAAAATGCTGGGATTATAGGCGTGAGCCACTGCGCCTGGCCCTTTCCCCCATCTCACGTGGCTGCCAGGAGACCCACCACGACTCCTGTGGCTCCTTCCACACTGCACGGCGCTCTCCGGCCTGGCCTGCAGGTGCCCCTTTGAGGGCACATGTGAGCACAGGGTGGTCCCTGGGGAGAAGCACCTGCAGGTGAGTGAGCCAGGCTGTGCACATTCAGACTCCTGCAGACCCCAAGACTTGAATTTCGTGTAACTCTCACCTCTCACAGAGGATTGTTTTTCTTTTGATTTTTTTCAAACCATTTAAAAAATTTAAAAGTCATTGTTGACTTGCAGGCTGGACAAGGCCTTGGGCTGGGCTGTGGTCCGTACCCCACACTGTACCTGTGCATCCTTGCCCTGAGCCACCAAGGCAGGTGGATCACCTGAGGTCAGCAGATCAAGACCAGCCTGAACAACATGGTGAAACCACGTCTTAACTAAAAGCTGCACAAAATTGGGCGTGGTAGTGGGCACCTGCAGTCCCAGCTACTCAGGAGGCTGAGGCAGGAGAATCGCTTGAACCCCGGAGGCGGAGGTTGCAGTGAGCCAAGATTGCGCTATTGCACTCCAGCCTGGGCAACAAGAACGAAACTCTGTCTTAAAAAAAGAGAGTTCTCACTGCGTTGCCCAGGCTGGAGTGCAGTGTTGTGATCTTGGCCGGTTATGGTCTTGACCTCCTATGCTCAAGCCATCATCCCACGTTAGCCCCCTAAGTAGCTAGGCCTTCAGGTACACACCACCACGCAAGGTGGTTTTTTAATTTTCTGTAGAGACAGGGTCTCACTGTGCTGCCCAGGCTGGGGCGTGTCGGACTTGGGGAGAGAGCAGCTTCCTGCAGCTGGCAGGGTCTTCCCTTCTCAGGGTTAATGTTCTCAGCTGTATTTGATCTGTCCTCAGCCAGAGTGGGCAAAATGGCCTTCCCAGAAGCGCAGGTGGGCCACCGCCTGC